CATCTTTATTTTACATCCCTTTCTGATTATCTTCTATTTTACCCTCAATACGTTTTTTCACCTTCCTGCTTTTTTTCCTGCCCCCCATCCATCACCGTTACCGGATCCCTTCTTCCCGCCTTTTATGGCCCCTCAGGGACTGTTTAAACAGTGCATTATTTGTAAAAGGAAAATTCCTCTTACTGACGGACACGACAAACATATTTTTTGTTTGGGTGAAGAACATCAATCCCAGTCATGACCTGAATGTAGGAAGTTGATGAAACCAGCCATTAAACTCAGAATATGTTTAAGATCATTCCTGTACGAAAAAACTCTTCATCCACACATGGAAACACTTACCTCACCACGTCCAGAGCCAGCTTGATCCCTACAACCCGCTCGATATCAAGCCCGACTCCAACACCTGTAAAACAAAAAGAATCATGAAAACCATCATCAAAGTCTAGTTCTACAACCACCTCTAAATCCCGAACTCACTCAGATAAATCTAGTAAGAAGAAAAAAGACAAAGATAAACCATCTAAACCAAAAAAAGCATTCGAAACCTATGACTATCGACCCACCACAAATGACTCCACCTTCAACAGTCTTGGAGGAATCTTCAAGAGAGGTACCAACTTCTACTCCTGATAGAGATGATTATGCAGTAACCTCCGCACAGGCTGCACCCCCAGTCGTTAGCCTATCAAATGCAGGCTGTAGACAGGCTGTGACCCATTCCAGCCCGGCCTTGACCCCTTCTAGCCCTCACTCATCAGGGCGGGCGCAAAGTGAACAAACGTTGGATTCAGAATCATCCCAACATTCTCCAAAAAAAGAGACAACATATATTGCCACCCCGAGATGCCTCTCCACATGGGTATCCATACCACTATCCAGAATACTATCAGTGTTGCCCACAACCAATGTATCATCACGGTCATCAACATTATGACCCACACTACCCAAGCATGTGCAATGACATGATGCACTGCGAACCAACAAGGAGAGTTCGATATGCCTCTCCACCAGCGCAAACAATGTCCAGATCTCCATCTCCTGTGACTCGACACCATAAAAAATGAGAATCTACTGCATCTCATACACATAGCTCATCCAGATCGGCACTCAAAAGATCTATTTTGATCTCACATACAGAAATACCTACCAAAAAATAGAGAACATTAACACAGCAACCTCTACCAGCATCCACAATATATCTGGATCCTCCCATGCATACCGATATCAAACCATGATTGAAATCGACCTTATCATCTTGACAACCATTCCCGGTTTCACCAATATCCACATTACAATGTTCACCATCAACCTCTTCCATATCATCCCAGGAGTCGAACTCATCTACATCTTCTGAATCAGACAACAATTTTCCATCTCCCAATTCTGATATTGGTGAAAGTCATCCTCCATCCCCCTCAGAGGACTTCACCTCATATTCCCAATGAATTTTGAGAATGGCTAAAATGCTACAATTAGACATCGAGGAACCACCAGCAAAAGAAAAGGACTTACGTTTTCATGATTTGGACCAGGACAAACCCCCTCTGCTAAGCCTCAGTTTGATTCTGGCCATGATTCAACTGGTCAAGGAATCTTGGGAGAAACCTCCATCATCTCTCCAAATTCCACGTAAAGTGGAGAACCACTACAAAGCCCATGGACCTGATGCTACATTTCTACTTAAACACCCAGTACCTGATTCCATTATTGTAGAATCAACACAATATACAGCGCGCAACAAATAATCTGTTGCCCCAACAAATAAATAAGGATGAAAAATTGACATATTGGGAAGAAAACTTTATTCTCTTTCATCTCTGCTCATAAGAGTTGCCAATTATCAAGTGGCCATGGGTGCATATCGACAATACCTATGGGATAAAATCCTTCCAGCCCTACAAACTACTTTGGAATCAAACAAACCAGAACTACTAAATACGTACACAGAGGCGACGACCCTTGCAAAATAACAAAGAGTAGCTGCAAGACATTCTGCTGATGTAGCATCTAAGGCAATGGCCACTTTCATTGCACTTAGATGACACGCATGGCTTAGATCATCCAATACCTTAGATGACACAAAAACTAGAATTGAGGACTTGCCATTTGATGCCACAGGACTGTTTAACGCAAAAACAGATGAACTAATGGAAAACATACATAAGCTACGAAAAACTGCGAAATCATATTCTCCCCAACAACCATACCAATACCAAAAAACATCATACCAAAGGCAATCATACTGTCAATATCATCCATGTCAGCACCAACAGCCTTTTCATCCATACAGATCTCAAGCTCAAGATGGACCTTACTATCCGGCATTGACATCTCAAACTCTTTGAAACTAACAATCACAATCCAGAAAGCAACTCTTTCGTAAACAACAGAGACATGATAAGCAATACTCATAATCTTAGTCAACCAACTTTCCAAACAGGATTGCATTTCTTTCTACCAATGTGGAAATTACAAATGATAAATGGGCCCTCTCCATAATCAAAGGTTACAAGATTGAATTTTTCAAGACCCCACCACCTAGTATTATTAGGAATACTCCATTCTCTCTTACACTTCAAAACGAAGTGTCATCCCTTTTACTAAAGAACACAATAATTATAGTTTCCCCATCATCTCCCAATGATGGATTCTATTTGTGATACTTTATTATCCCTAAAAAGGCTGGAGGACTTTTCCCCATCCTTGACCTCAGGAAACTCAATAAGTTTATTCAAGAAAACTTATAAATTATGCCAATTTGATAGAAGAATCCTACCAACTGGCCAGTCTACATACTGTTTTGCATTGCCATTTAAAAGAAACGGGCTTATCACATTTGTTGATAAAAGTTTATTCATCAGCCGTTGTGGCACGCCAATCTCATCTCTATTCCCTACGAATCCTACTCTTAAAAAATTGAAAGGCTTGAGGAATGTCTACCCTCATGTCAGACCTCCAAAGTGGTCACTTACCTTGGTACTCAGCCAGCTCATGAAGTTGCCATTTGAGCCAATGGCATCTTCAGATTTGAGATTGATATACAAAACAGTGTTTCTAGTCATAGTAACATCAGCAAGGAGGGCAAGCAAACTATACACTCTTAGGCATGATCCAGCTTTTCTCCAATTCTATAATCATGGTGACAGTTTTTCTGATTTGTCATTCCAGCTGAAAGTAGTTTTTGACTTCCATCTCGACTAAACTTTAGTGCTGCCACATGTTTTCTCTTGCCAGCTTCTGATTTGGAGAAATTGCTATACACCTTAGATGTGCATAGAGCTTTGGCATTCTACACCTCAAGAACAATGCAGTTCTAGAAATCCTTCAAATAGTTTGTGAGTTACCAGGGACCAAAGAAAGGTGAACTTACTATGTTTCAGTGTCTCTCTAAATAGATAGTGAACACTGTTGCCCTATCTTGCTAGTTAGTGGAAATACCATTACCTACATCTTGGAAAGGCAGTTCAGCTAGAGCAGTTGCTGCATCTACAATGTTCCTAAAAAGAATTCATGTGACAGATGTCTACAGAACATCAACATGGTTCCAGCCATTGAGATTTGTCAAACGTTACAGGTTGGATGGCAGGGTGAAATGGGATGCTTCCTTTGGCTGAGCAGCTATTATTTTCTGGATTGACACAACATCCCACCAGCTGGTTGGTGAGCTTGTCAGTTACCCATAGATGTGAATCACAGAGGCCCCCGAAGAAGAACAGGGTGCTTCCCTGTAACTTTAGTTCTTTGAATTGTCATCTGTGAATTCACACAACCCACCCATCTTCTCCTTGTTCTGCCATGCAAGTGGTTTTATCAGTGGTGGACTGTGGGACTGAGGATTAAACTACAAGATGGAGGAAGCATTTACAGTGTAAGGAGGGTGGATTAATGAATTTTTAGGTTCTGGAATTTTCCAAAGATGTCTGTGGAGGGACAGAAGGAACCATAGGTGTGAATTCACAGATAATTATTTGAAGAACTGCAGTGGCAGTTAAACAACCTGCCCCTTCCCGATTCAAGAGTGTCTGCAAGATATTTTATGGATGAAGGAAAAGGAATATATGCACATATCACCATAATTTGTCTTATCACCCACCCCACTGTGGACACACATTCCCTAATAGAGATCTGCAGACTGTATAAACTTATTTTCTGGAGATAATGAAGGGCTGCTTTTGGGGACAGAGTTTACTTCTCAGGGCTAAGTAGAAATTGGATGGCTTATTTTTTTTTCTTTTTAAGTCACCTCTTCTGTAGTTTTTTTCCCCACTAAGCTCTGGGAGCAGGAGATAAAATGGTAAATAATAAAGGCAAGGTGGTATTGAACCATGTTCTCTAGATTATCTCTTAATTTACAATAAGATACTGTGAGCTTTGAAAACATGATTGCTACTGCAATCCTGGGCACCTGTACTTGGGAGTAATCCTCACTGAAGCTAATGGGATTTATTAAAGTTTTAACATCCTCGGGATTATAGCGACTCTGACACAATCTGTTTTGATCCCATTGAGATACATAGGGTTTGAGAGACATGCTTCACAAGAGTCCAGCATCTGACTATCACAGGCTTAAGAGAATAAATAATAAAGAGTTGGGGGAGGGGGACTCTTTGAACAAAAGCCCCAGTTTGCTCGTATTCATCAGCACATTGTGCATAAGCAAGTATTATGTGCTTAAAAAAAATTTTTTAAACCAAAACATTGCGGAGTGTTCCCCTCCGCACACTGCTGCAGGATGGTATCTATTTATTGTATTTGTAAGAATGTTTCTCTTTCTTTACAGGAGTCTTGCTGCTGGAAATCATTAGATTGTTTTCTAATCCTCATGTTGTGTTTAGCTAGTGGAAAGTGATACACTTTCTAAAAGCAGGAGATGCTATAATACCCGAGTATCCTGTTGCATGCTGAATAATTAGCAGGCTTTAAATAATAAATATAATGTGTGTATTATAGATAATTAAGTGTCAAATTGCTAACATTTTACGTGGACTTTTGTCTAGGTGTAATTACGGTTGGCAAGGACAATTCTGTGACGAGTGTGTCACCTACCCTGGCTGCGCTCATGGAAGTTGCACCGTCCCATGGGACTGCAAGTGTGAAACCAACTGGGGTGGTCTGCTCTGCAACAAAGGTACCAAACTTCTATTCAGACTTTTTTTTTTAAAGGTACCAAACTTCTATTCAAACTTCTTTTTTTAATTGGATGGATGGATAGATTGATAGATTACTAATGAGTAACCTGATAACAGTTCCTTATACAAGCATGTGGTTAGTGGAGATCATGTTTTCTGACTCCCTGTTGCCACTTGCCTGCATACTGTAATGCAGCAGGATAATTTCAAAGCTTATAAACTTATTGAGTGAGGGTCTAATGCATTGAATCATATGGCATTGTCTCAATCTTATCTTTACTTTTTGGACACTGGTAAGACTACCGATACAAAATCAAAATGCATTAAAGTTGACATGAGGATGGGAATAGCATGTACATTTTATTCAGAGCTTGAAAAAGATATTTTAAATTATATCTACCAGATGTCCGCCGGTATGGCCATTGCCTGTTCCGGGGAGGGAATTCAGGAAGTTGTAGTACAAAAAAGTAACATTGAGCTCTGATGTTCTGCCCCCCCCCCCCGAATGCTCTCTCAAGTGATGCTAAGTAATAATTTTTTGTTCTCTTTATGTCTCATATGACTGCTTTCCCTCCATTTTCTATCTAGATTTAAACTACTGTGGAAATCATCACCCATGTGTAAATGGTGGAACCTGTATGAATACAGAACCAGATGAATATAGCTGTGCTTGCCAAGATGGTTACTCTGGAAAGAACTGTGAAATTGGTACTGCCAACCATTTTATATACTTTCTTATCCACGTGTTTTATCTGAAAGTAATAAGAAGCTAAAGGGACTGAGCTTTCATAGCGTCATAGATATGCCTCATGCCCACAACTCAAACATTTATATGTTGTTGGAAAGAGTGGAATTTCTCAGATGGACACCAAGGGCTCATTCAGATGGGCATTTTTCCTGCTGTTTGGTGTGTTGTGGGGCAGATTGGTTTTCTCTTTTTGCTGGTGACCACACAATGTAATCACTAAAAAGGACCAATTTGCCATCAGAACCCAAGCCCACACCTTTTTGAGCCCGTGTCAGGAGCTTCTGCTTTTTTGATATGGTTTGGTGCACTCTAGTTTTAATCTATTCCCAGCAAGTGCAGTTTCTGGGAATGGACTGAAACCAAGCCTTGAACCTGTCAAATCTGCCAAGACTCCTTCCAGTTTCATTTTCTGGTATCGTAAAATGTCTTAAGTGAGCCACTTCAGAATGTCAGCAAATTGAACACTTCCTCTACTCCTCTGTTCAGGTATTTCTTTTAATCTGCTAGACCTTCACTGTTGCACTGAATCACTTAGACTAAATTATATTTTTTCTTTGCCTTTGTTTGAAGTGCTGATTGAAACCAAGGCTGCAGCAGTTTCTCAATCAGGGCTGTCAGGAATACTCCTCCTTAAAGGTGTTTTCCACTATGTGAAGAAGCCTCTGTAGTTCCAAGCAGAACCCAAGCAGATAAACGCTGCCTGTTTAAGTCCTGAGAAGAAAGTACTACATAACCCATTCCCTCACAAGGACTACACACAAGGCAAAGAATTTTTTTTAAAAAAATGTAATTAAGTAATTCAATGCATCAGTGATTGTCTATCACAGAGGAGCAGGGATTGATAGTGAAAGGAGCCAGAGGGTTGCATGAACTCAGTAAGCCATTTGGATGCAAGGATCATGCCAAATGGCATATGACTCTCCCCCCTGACCTCAAGTAACCATATTGATACTGCACCAGCTGGCACCAAAAGGGCCAGTGCAGTATAACTGTACATATTTACAGTTGGTTTGTGATTCTGTCACTGTATTCTTTTTCCAGGATGCAGGGAATCACCTGTTTCACCACATTGTCACCCTTGCTGTCTAAATCCCAAACCAACTAAATTTAGCTTCTCTTCTCTTAGCTTAATAGAAAAGATTTGCGAAATTTTGTGTCTGTGAGCTTGTTCAAACCCAAGCTCAGAAATTTCTCACTTTTCATTTTTAACAGCTAATTCATAACCTGTTGTGCCATTCAGGTACATAAACAAGGTTCAGAAAAAAGGAATGGCTCCATTCAAGTGTAGTGGAGGCACATCAGCTAGCAGTGTTTGAACCAAGGTCTTTTGTGGCTCATCTATATACTTCCAGCCTGAGTTGGCCCTTCTGTGATGCATAAGAAATTAATAGGCTGGGGGATGATTTACTCAAGAGCAGACAACTATGTTTCTAAGGATACCAAGTTCTCTTCCTCCTTAGTTGGACAGATGAAAGCTTTCAAAAATAAGAAGCCATGTCTTCATTACGTACTCAGAAATAAGAGTTTAAACTTGGATTCAGGTGCTGTTCTTTCTTTTCTCATTAGCTGAGCATGCTTGTGTATCAAATCCTTGTGCTAATGGTGGAACGTGCCGTGAAGTTTCATCAGGCTTTAAATGCCAGTGCCCTAGTGGATGGAGTGGACCAACATGTGCTATTGGTAGGTCCAGTTTGGTTTGCATCTTGCTATGAAGCTGAATATAAAAACTCTGTGATGTTTCAGTATTTATCAAATGAGTATTCATGGATTAGCCCTCCTTCTTCATGCCATACTGTTACTAAGTTGGAGAAATCATAGCCATGAATTGATATAAATAAACCTGCAAAATAATAGATCTGTAGTAAAAAAATTAGTTGCCTTATCTTTATCTAAAGAATAATTTAATATATCATAAGAAACATAATCTCAGAAATAGCACTGTTTTATGTGGGAGAGTTGTGAAGATGTCTTGTAAGAAAGTGACTGTTATATGTAGCTTTTATAAATACAGTGGTGCCTTGCATAACGATCGCTCCGTTGAGCGACGAAATCGCTTAGTGACGGAGTTTTTGCGATTGCAAAAGCGATCGCTTTGCGATGGTCCCTATGGGGTTTTTTCACTTTGTGATGATTGCAGGGAAGCGATCATGGCAAAGCGACCCTTTTTTAACAGCTGATCGGCGGTTTCAAAATGGCCACCGGGAAAACAAAATGGCCACCCCGCTGTTTTTCCTCGCTTAAGAGGCATTGAAAATGGCAGCGCTAGGGAGGATTTTTGCTTAAAGGTGAGGTTTTAAGCCCATAGGAATGCATTAATGGCATTAACCTGGGAATGCACAGTTAAGTTTTAAATGTCATATTGAGACAACACAACATTTATGTTTAAATCAGTCAGGAATCCAAATTACCTTACTTTTGAAGGCTGCTTGTCATAATACCTGTTAATATCACAAGGTGATTTTGCAGTGCCCTACATTTAAAACCATGGGTATGTTTTAGTACTACACATGTCCATGTATATTATATATGAAGTGTTGGCAACAGTTCTGAGCATGTATGACGTCTCTTTCAAACTTCCTAATGTATTCTGTCACTGTATTCTTTTTCAATGAGTATGGAAGATGATCCTATATCAGAGTTTAGTTTGTTTTTTAGAACTGTGCATTGGATCGGACTACCTTTTCCCAGAGCAGGGTGGGAAACCTCTGATCCACCAAGTGTTGTTGGACTGTGACTCACATCCTCCTCCACAAATTGACTGTCAGTGCTGGCTGGAAATAAAGCCTCTTGCAATCCAAAGCATCTACCATAGCAAGAGATCTGTTTTCCAATTCTGAACAGATCTCTTTTCCTTTGCTTTGAAATCATGTTTTCTCTAAAGTTGTCTTAGACTACTCTTTCCATTCCCAGATATAGATGAGTGTGCATCTAATCCTTGTTTTGGCGGCGGAACCTGTGTGGATCGCATTAATGGGTTTGAATGTATATGTCCACAGCAGTGGAAAGGGGCAACATGCCACCTTGGTAAGTCTCAACAGTTAAAAGTTGTCTTGGAAGGAAAATAGTTTGCATAAATTTTGCTTTAATCATCTTTTGTAAATAGCTGTTTGAATGGAATCTTTCGCAGCTTGGTGTCCTCCAGATCATGTTGAACTGCAGCTCCACAGCCATCACAATTGGAGTGCACCAGACTGTAGTAGGGTGTTTCATTCCCTTGGCTACTGCTTACTCAGTGGGGAAAACTGGAATATGTATGAATTGTAGCTACCTCTTGAGCACAGACAATGTTTTATTCTATATTGTTTCCTGTCTTGATGCAAGTTATACTTGTGGGTGAAGGCGTCCATAGCATTAAAGCAGCAATCTTAACTCTGTGGTGGCTAAAATTACGGGATGTTTGCACTTACGAACTGCTGCGCATCTTTGTGGGGTACATTTTGGTTCTGTTTGCCTCTCTGTGTGGTCGTTGGCTCCTCCCTTATTCCTGCATCTTGTTCATACCCATATGGCATGTGCATGCTTCCAGGATATGCAGAAGCACCTGAGCTAGACTGGCAGACATGTAAGCAAGTTGGAGTTGTCTGTCTATCCTTGAAACCATTGGGAGAGGATGCGGTATAGCTGGATATGAACTTTTGTGTGGATTGTGTCAGGGTCCTATGAGAACAGGACAGAAAATGCGTATTACTTTTTTTTGCCAGTGAATAGGCAATGGTTCAACCCAAAAGCAAGTCAGTAAGGACACAGGTATATGCTGTTTGATATGATAATAAAAATGGCAAGTTTCCACCATGAATAAGGGATTTGGCTGAATATTCTTAAATTGCAGTAAGTTGTAGTGAAGATGGAAAAAGCTATACATTCTTCCCAAATGCTGTATTTCCATCCATTTTGGGCATGTTGCTCATTGTTCCTGGTGCAGCTGGTTTCTGTATTGCAAATAATCCGCATTTAAACAGCCGGTTGAAAACTACCAACTGCAAAAAGAGTTGCTGCTCTGACAGTTTCTTCCCAGGCTTCCCTGTTTTCTCTGAGTTTGGCAATTCTCATAGTAGCTGAGAGTGAAACAGATTTTTCCAGGATCACTATATTGTTGCAAGCTATTCCTGCTGTAATACACAATATTTGAGGGTGATTTGGTCTTGAATGATCAATCAAGAACTATTGAATTGACAAAAGACTTGCTCCTCATTTGATGATATGGACTGACCCAGTTGCCTCCATTTTTAGTGTCTCCATGTGGGAGGCTGGCTAAGGTGACTGTCATGTGCTTCGTGCTTCAAATTTACCATTCTGCCACTATTCGTATTTACTACCTTTTTTTTTCTTCATGAAGATTTGGATAGATAGACAATCTCTTATAGTTATTTCCGAAGTTAGTTTATTTATTAAAATCTAAATCTTGATCAACGCTTTCTTAGGAAACAGCATACACATTGAAGCTATGAGCAGATGTATCGGTGGAGAAACAGTGGAGTCAGGGACATGACACTGTTCTTTGGAAAGCATGAAAGCTTTGCTTTGGTGCAAGGGCAATCTAGTCCTGGGTTTGTTCTTCACTCTCTGCTTTTCTTTCTCTTCTTTCACAGATGCTAATGAGTGTGAAGGGAAACCCTGTCTTAATGCTCATTCTTGCAAAAATCTTATTGGTGGATATTACTGTGACTGCATTCCAGGATGGAAAGGAGTGAATTGTCACATCAGTCAGTATTTAATCTTGAGTATATACATAGACTAAAAATGGAACATTTTTCTTGATTCCTGACTAAAGGCTTCTCTGTCATTTCTAAACATAACTTTTAGGCCTTTAAAAAAAGAAGCCATATATGGTGACTCCTTTAGCAGATGTTTCCTTGCATCTAAAGCTTTAGCTTTTGGGTTGTGGAATGAACTAACTGCAAACCCCTAAAGAACTCCTTGTCTTGGGGGAGGCTTGCATTGGGCATTTTCTTCTGCATACTGCCTGAAATTATCATTTGCTGTCTCTCAAACTTGCATCAGCCACACAACTTATCTTTTCTTTCCTCTGGAAAACATCATAGAGACGTGAACTAAACAGACATTAGTAGTTAGTATTCAGTTTGTTCAGTTAAGTTCCAAACTCTTACTTTTAATCTTGCATATTTTATCCCTAGAAATTAGTGATTGTCATGGGCAGTGTCAAAATGGAGGAACTTGTAAGGTAAGGCTAAGTTAATTTTATTTACTTTTGTTTCTTAAAATAGTTGAATTGAGCTGCCGTTTAAAATCTGCACTCTGCAAAGTAACAATTGCTAAGTGTCAGATTTGATAAGGGCTAACTCCCATTTTTCAGGACCTCTGTTGCTGAAATCACAAGCTCGCAAATGTGTGAACATCAGTTGCTACTCAGTATCAAATCAGATACAATGTCTCTCTATGTGTCTCATTGTTTGTATAGAAGTTGTCCATTCATATACTCCTTCTTAACAGTTCCCTTTAAGTACTAAACAGGATTTTAGCCTGATATTTAAGGCGCCCTTGCAAGGGGACAGTATGAACTAGAGAGCCTCGTGGCGCAGTGGTTAAAACGCTGTACTGCAGCTGAAACTGTGCTCACGACCTGGGGTTCAAATCCCAGGTAGCCGGCTCAAGGTTGACTCAGCCTTCCATCCTTCCGAGGTCGGTCTCTCTATGTGTCTCATTGTTTGTATAGAAGTTGTCCATTCATATACTCCTTCTTAACAGTTCCCTTTAAGTACTAAACAGGTTTTTAGCCTGATATTTTTTAGTAAGGCGCCCTTGCAAGGGGACAGTATGAACTAGAGAAACCATTATATTCTAAATGTATGAGGTAGCATCCAGGCAACTTGAACATTTTTAAACTCCCACTGATTTTGTTTAGAGGAACGCAAGAACGCTAAATGTGTAGCTTTTGCCAGAACATGTTCACGTAGTTTGTTAAATTATACTCCTCTAGCTTACTGATTTAAGTAGGTATGTGGTGACACTGTGGGTTAAACCGCAGAAGCTTCTGTGCTGCAAGGTCAGAAGACCAGCAGTCGTAAGATCGAATCCACGCGACGGAGCGAGGTCGCGTTGCTTGTCCCAGCTCCTGCCAACGTAGCAGTTCAAAAGCATGTAAAAATGCAAGTAGATAAATAGGGACCGCCTCGGTGGGAAGGTAACAGAGTTCCGTGTCTAAGTCACACTGGCCATGTGACCATGGAAGATTGCCTTAGGACAAACACTGGCTCTATGGCTTGGAAACAGGGATGAGCACCACGCCCTAGAGTTGGACATGACTGGACTAAATCTCAAGGGGAACCTTTACCTTTACCTAGTTTACTGATTTAATTTTTTTCCCAGTGTGTTCCATTTCCATCATACAGACTCCTGGGATTTGTAATTTGGTGAGGTATTTAGAATGCTCTGCAAGAGAATTTTAGCACTCTTCTCTCAAGAGAATTCTAAGTATTTCACCAAACTACAAACCCCAGGACTCTGTAAGATGAAGCATGATGAATTACCCTTTGTGACACAGTAGCATGGTACCCTTTTAAAAGACTATTCCATTCTAAAGAATCCTAAGATATGTAGTTTGGTGAGGGACTTAGAAATTTCTGTTGTATTCCAGCAGAGTACACTAACTGTTTAATATAGATACACTTTAAAAGGGCTAACTCCCATTAGGAATGTAGAAGGTTTGTCACCATACAGGTCCCCTAGGATTGAAAAGAATTTTTGAGCAGAGTATCTAAATCCTACTGCATGTGAATGTTCTGGATGGCAAACAGAAATAACTGTCCTACTGAACTGTTCATAGGGTGGCTTTGGAGCAAAACTGATTAAGTAGTAGTACCAAATGGCACTTGTCCAAGAATTCTAAAAATTCAAACATGAACTGCTGAGCTACTTACTCTGGTATGTGCTTCACTGTGACATCAGGCTCCGTAGTAGAGGTTGGAAAACAACTGTTGAAATTATTGGCTTCCTTTCTGAAAAAGTTGCAGCATTTCCCATGGGATAATAAATTCATTTTTAAAACTTAGCTTTTTAACTTTGGTCAATCAAATTGGTAAGTATATGGATAAATAGTAGGTACGATGAACATGAGACTTGATGGCAGAAGGTAGCTAATGGAATTCTGTGGATATCAAATTTGGATGTATGATCAGTTTACCATATAAAATATGCTTTTCAAAGTCAGTGTTAGGTAGTCAAAAGTGTCTTCTGATAATTTTAAACAGCAAGAAGCAGAAGCAGCAGTCTACTGCAAGAGAGTGGCATCGTATTGAAAACAGGAAGTAGTAAGAACTAGTAGAAGAATGGATATCAGTAGAAGAATGGATGTCACTAGTCTCAAAAGCCATTATAGATTATTTTGGTTATATGTTCCCATATTGTATTGATTATAGTTTTTATATGTTTTATAATTCATTTATGAGATCTGTTTGACAGTGGGAAGTGACTCACGAATGAATGAATATTTTCACCATCTTTTAAAATCAGTGCACTCAGTTTCGAATCTTTCCCTTTCTTTAGGGTGAAGTGAATGGCTACCACTGCATCTGTCCTCAAGGTTTCATAGGAAAAAACTGTGAAACAGAAGTTGATGAATGCCTGAACAACCCATGTCAAAATGCAGGTCATTGTGATAAACTGGTCAATGGATTCCGTTGTCTATGTCTACAAGGCTACTCAGGAGAATTCTGTGAGGTGAAGGATATTTTGAAATTGTTAATAAATTGATGTAGGGTTAAATCTAATGTTAGTCTGAACTTGAGTTACACCTACTGAATTGACCCCTTGGTGACTTGTTGGTCGCCAAGTGTAAATCCTGTTGATTTCAGCAGGCCTGAAATCAAGGGACTTACTAGGACTCAAAAGACACATTCAGCTATTCATGAGTGGAAAGAGTCATGGTCCACTTGGCTGTGTAAAGTCACTGGGGTAGTAGGCATCCTTCAGTCTTGAGAGACTATGGTAACGTGCTCTGTATGGAGGTCTTGGAACAGTGTCTTGTGTGGCTGTGAAGGCCAATTCGAGAGTGACCATCCCTTCCACATTGAAGACAAATACAATCTGTCCCCTGTCCAGCTCCCTGGTTTCGCTTGTTTCGGGACTGCCTCTTTGCCTCTGCCTGCTGTACAAGAGTCTCTTCAAATTGGGAGAGGCCATGATGCACTGCCTGCCTCCAGGCTGAACGCTCAGACGTCAAAGTTTCCCATCTGTTGAGGTCCATTCCTAAGGCCTTCAGATCCCGCTTGCAGATGTCCTTGTATCACAGCTGTGGTCTCCCTCGGGGGTGGCTTCCCTGCACTAATTCTCCATACAGGAGATCTTTTGGAATCCGACTATCAGCCGTCCACTTGGCTATGTAAAGTCACTGGGGTGTGGCACAGGTAAAACCACTCCTGATGTATGTCACATACAGTACCTTGAAATTTCCATTAGGGTCATTGTAAGACATAGGTGAATTGATAGCACACTATATAATATAGACTAAATCTAGTGCTAGTCCCAATTAAGTCTGTTATTGCTATCCACTGGAAAGGACCTACTGTATTTTTCTGTGTATAAAACAAAACTTTTTCCTAAAATAATTAAAGGAAAAACAGGGTTGTTTTATACTCAGAAGTAAGAAGGGAGGAGGGAACAAAGTGCTTTTCCCCTCCACATTTTGCAAAGAAAATAGAGGGGGAAAGCAATTCCTGGTTTCCCCCTACATTTTCATTGCAAAAAACAGCTTCCCCCTCCATTTTTTGCAAAGAAAATGGAAGGGGAAAGCAATTACTGCAAAGAAATAAATTTTGAATTAGAAAAGGGGGGGAGGTATCTTATACATGGGGACGTCTTATTCACTGAAAAATACGGTAGGTGGTACTGAGACTCCCAAGTATGAGTGCTTTCTAGTATTATTAAATTCTGTTTCTTTCTGTTAAGAACTCATGTGAATCCTATTAGTTTACTCTCTGGAAGTCTCATTAATATGTGTCTGTGTGTATCTCTATGTTCAAATGAAAATAAGTATATCTTCATCAAATGTAATGGAGTATACATGAGAAGTAATGTGACTTCTACATCGTTGTTAATTGCATACTGATTCCTGGCTGTTGCTATGATTTGTAACTTTTGGTAATCAGTTGAATAAGGAAGGAATTTGGCAGAGTGCCTTTAGTATTGCAGGAAGTGTCTACCTCCTGTTCCAAGAGATTTTTCATCCCACTACAGAAGCAGTGCTGTAAAAGGGAAACTTGTACTAATGGAAGGAAACAAGTGGGGGATGTCTGATATTTCTGACAGAAATGTTTTCTCGACCTTTCTTTTGACAGTCTGCTTCTTGAAAAAAGAACAACTTTTCAAGTACTGTATTGGAGACCAATACAGTCTTCAGTATAAAGTGCCTTTCAAGGCCAGGAGGGCCGTAGAAGAAGCCACTGCCCCCCCCCAATGAAATACAGTATAGATGTTTTAAACTATAGGTGCTGTTACATCTGTCTTGTTGAACACCAGATGCTGTTTTAAAGCAAATGTAGTTGACAAATGTAGTTAACTTGTATTAATATTAGTTATTTCCTCAAAAGGATTTGTCTGTGGAAAGGTTTATGTAGGCAGGACTTGTTTAAGTTTGGCAGTTTTATCATCATAATAGTAACAAATCAACTTTGAATCACTTTGTTTCACTGGATACATTCAAAAAGGCAGACCTGCTTGCTACATATGGAAAAAAATAGGTAGCTGATAGACAACTGTTTTGAGGGCTTGTTTGTGTTTTTGTTTGTTTTTTAATACTTGGCTGCATACTAAATCCACAGGCAACGTTCTGAACAGATACATGTCTGACAAGAAACAGTCAACATATGACTGTGCTATAAGGATTCTAAAGATCTTAAAAGAAACTTTCACTTGCAAAGTTCTTCAAGGGTTCCTTTGAGATGTTGCCTTTAAACATTACTCTTAGCAGAAGAGAAGAGACAGTCCAGAGAGCACTTTTCTTAGGAGTTCTGCCATACATGCATCTTCTTTGGAAATCCTATCTAGTTCTATTTGCATAACCTAGGGGGAAGAAGCATGAGTGCTACTTTGATCTCCTTGGAGAAAAGGGTGGCGGGGGGTGGGGAGATCATGAACCTTAAGCAGAGCTTGGAAATGTTTAGAGAGTACAAATGGGGCCTGCAACTTCCCTTTTCCTGTGTCAGGGAAGTTGCAGTTTCCTATTCCGTATTTCCAGTGTGGTCTTACATTCAAGCATACACACCATCATTGATCGTTGAAGCTGACTGCTATCCTGCTCCTATCCCTTTCCTCTCTTTCTCTGTAAGAGTATCTAAGGCCTGCACAGGCCCACCACTTTGGGTTTGAGATAGGGAAAGATCCTGCGTCACTCCTCCTTTACCAGCTCCAGAATCATGGGGTAGAATCACACCACTGTTTCCAGCCAGTTGGAGCCAGCTGTAAAGTCCAACTGCACTTAAGATATATGAATCTCTCAGAGTGAAGCACTTAAATGTTCTTCCAGAACTTAGGCAACTAGAAATGGGGGCTGAAAAGGTGTGAACAGGACAGAAAGATGTTCAAGGAAGAGCAATAGGGGAAATGACAGATTAGATACATGTACTATGTACAGCATGTGGTAGAGAAAAGAAGCTGGTATCATTGTGTCAAGAGACCTGTGAAAGGGCAAAGCGTGGAGTGGCTTGCAGACTTGTCATAATGCACAGCATGTGTTTTTGGAGGCATATCGCAAAGAATTATGAAAGGAAAGACAAGAGAGCTATTTATTGATTTACCTACTTTATCAGTTCCAGTTGTACTCTGGCTTTTCCTCCTCCAGTGAGCTCAATGTCACGTAGGGAACTCTCCTCTCCACTTTATTCTCACAACAACAAGATGTATCAGGCTAAGAGACAATGGCTGGCTCAAAACTTACACGAGTGATTTGTGGGTCAGTGGGGGCCAGCACCTGGATCTTGCAAATTCCTATCTGATATTCACCTGACTGGCTCTCTAAAGATTTCTGAAAGGAATGTACACAATAGCCTTTTTCTTAGTTATTGGTCCTTTTTGTACCTCATGTGTTACTATAAATCAAAATCATATTTTTTTCCAGACTGCAGCATTCTTGTGTCTTCTTCCCCTGGCATTGTCCTGGGGTGGCTATTTTATTTATTTTCATTGCCTGCCATTTCATTGAAAATTTTCAGATGGGAATGGAATAGGTCAGTTTCTTGTCTGTTTTGAAATAATATATTGTTTAATGCACGATCCTGCCTGGTGGTTCAGTACAGTATTGTCAGTTTCCCAAGGGTTAAACCATTTTCTGTTCTGCTGTTTTAGAAAGTAGTTACTTGCTTGCTGTTGCATTGGTATGCAAAAAAACCCTCTGAGGGCAAGGTGTTTGATGATTTGCTAAAAAGTCTCAGAGAACTGACCTGATGCAAAGAAAGGAAGTCGACATATTAAATCTTGCAAAGTGAGAGGTGTATGAACAGTATAGATTTTTTTAAAAAAACTACTGACTAGGTTTTTGCATAATGGTAAACTAAGTTATAGTTTGTGGAATTACGCCTTGACTTTGTCTCCAAACCATAGTGGTTGGCCATGGTTAATCACAAGTAGAAGGCTTGTTTTGTTTGCATAGAGGCGTTCATTTATTTAGATGATAAGTTGTTATCTAAATCCAGAAAACCATGGCTTGCTCCTGATTTATTTTTCCGTTTCCTTACCGTGAAGCAGGAACTTACAAAAATGTTGGAAGAGAAACAGACCAAACATGGGGCAAACAAACAATGGTTTGTTGGTCACATACAGGACAGTTTGCGAACAAAGCAGTAAAACTGCAGCTTAGTGTGGCATCCAGACGTAGTCACTGAGTTGGAATAAGTAAGGTTTTCTTAACATAGCAGTCCATCCCAGGGACATTGGTAAAGATCTGTCCTTGAAATATGCTGGTGTATATTTTTCAGCTGTTTGACAAACATGTCAATTTTTAGCTTTTATTGTAGGGTAGGAACAGAGCTCTTCTAAGCTGTCATCTTGTCTGCAGTCAAGTCATACTCTCTGGGAGAAGTAACTTAGAGCTTTGAAGTGTGCTGCTTTGCTATAATTGGGAAAATAATTTGGACAGCAGTGCACTTCTGTAAGTTCAGAAGTGAGTTCTAAGTTCTGTTAGCAGATAGAATTAATTGGCAAAGGTTGAAGAGCGTCAACTCCTGTGGAATTTTAGATGGTGACATACTTGAAGCAAACTTGACTGAACTTGTCTAAATCTTTTGCAGATTGATATTGATCTTTGCAAACCAAATCCTTGCCAAAATGGAGCTAAATGTTATGATCTGAGAGAAGACTATTACTGTGCTTGCTCCGATGATTATGATGGAAAGAACTGTTCACACCTCAAGGATCACTGCAAAGATAATTCTTGTAAAGGTATGTTTCTCTTATACAATGTTTGCTTTTAAAAATCCAGGTACTTAAAAGCCATTTGAAAATTGTTGTCATGCAGAAAAAGCAATCATGTGTTAAATTGGTATTTTCCTTAATTGGCATCTAACATATTTTGCAATGGTATATGGGTTTTTTTTAAAAAAAAAAACTGTTATTTTAACAGAAAGATAAAATGAGAAAGAAAGTAGAATACATGCTGTGAAAAATAAAAATATGAGAAAAACATGGCATTTTCTTCACCTACTCCTATAGACCATATGCTGTCTATTTTAAAAATGGGGCAGCATCCATTGTCACTTAATCAAACCTCTGCTTAAGTGATGAGGCTTTCTCGTCCCTTCCAAAATCTGCTCCATAAGATCTCCCCAGCCTTCCAGAGCAGATTTTCAAGGCTTATGGGTGATACAAAGTATAGGTGGAAATCACACACTCACTGAAAATATGAAATCAGCAGGATGAACTACTACGATTCCATCCATCCTCTCACTCCAATTACATTATCAGACATGTTTGCTGACATATGTTCCTACCTACAAAATGTTGAGCAAAACACTTAGCCATCCATCTAATCCACAATAGCTTCTCCCATACTTAAACCTGACTACCTTTGCCATGTTGCAAATGCTACTCTTATATATATACACAATAAAATACTTTTACATTTATCACTATTTAGTAATATATATGAAGAACTAAGAAATCACATTTCTATGGTGGGCTTGTCTTTTTTAAAAAAAAGACAAAAACTAACCCATCCCCATGTTTCTTATTCTTAGTCATAGACAGCTGTACAATCGAGGTCTTCACAAATGCTACCCGGAAAGGCATCCGCTTAATCTCTTCCAATGTGTGTGGGCCTCATGGCCGATGTGTCAGTCAACCAGGAGGCAATTTTACTTGTGCCTGTGAGAAGGGCTTTACTGGAACATACTGTCACGAAAGTAAGTAGTGAGAAAAACATTTTATTAAAAACAAAGCTCTGAAGCATGGACTTATTTTAAGGAACTATTTAAAGTAAGAGTTAAGTGCCTGATGGGATTAAGAATCCCCAAAGCTTCACCATGACTGGCCATTTCTCTGAATAGTAACGGTTTGCTCTCTGCAAGACACTGAGCAAGTGTCATACTAAATACAATGTTTGTGTAGGGCAAATGATAAATAATCCTCTCATCTATAACGTCCCCGAAGAACCATTGGATAATGAGTCAGATGTCAGGAGGGATGATATGTACTTATAGGAAGTTGTTTAAACGTTTGAGAGATAGATAGATAGATAGATAGATAGATAGATAGATAGATAGATAGATAGATAGATAGATAGATGATAGATAGATAGATAGATAGATAGATAGATAGATAGATAGATAGATAGATAGATAGATAGATAGATAGATAGATAGATAGATAGATAGATAGATAGATAGATAGATAGATAGATAGAGCCAGTTGTTGAGGCATGTAATGGTTAGGAAGTCCCATTTTATGAAGTAAAACAGGATAGTCATAGGATATTCAGTTTTAATGTCTACTTTGACCCGCTACACTCCAGTGAGATTAATTCACCAATGGAATTTATAAATATGTGCAGTATGATCTTGGTAAACATCAGTGTAATCTCTTATTGCGCCAGACGAAAATGATTCTACTCAATATGTATTTTGTCCTTAGATATCAACGACTGTCTTGGAAATCCTTGCAAGAATGGTGGGACTTGCATTGATGAAGTAAATGGTTTCAGGTGCTTCTGCCAGGGTGGCTGGGAAGGAAAACTGTGTGATATCAGTAAGTACAACTAAATGTTAATGGAGTTGAAGTAGCCAAGGGACTTTTCTTTCATTTGTAATGTAGTTCTGAGATGGCTTTAACAGTTTGTTGTAACGTACTTGAGAAAATATTTAAGATTATAAACTCAATTTTGAGAGCAGCTTGTTTTTCATCTGAAAAAAAAGGTGGCCATAATGTGTGCCTCTTTTTTTAGAGGGGGAGGGAATTAAAGGGCATGGCTCTGTTCTCCAGATTGCATATTAAATACTGAGTATGAAGTCTTCCATCTCCCATGGAAGGATAGATTCCAGACTGTGGACATAGCCACAGAGAAAGTAAAACTGCAGTGACAGTAGTAGTGCCTGCAAATTTTTTAACACTGCCCTTTTATATTGGCAAAATGTATCCAATTAACTCTGTGAATGAAAGACTACTCTAGCACTTACATATCACTGTAATTACATGCTACTGTAGTGCTTTGATAGTATTGTGCCACAATGAAATGATACCTGTGTTCAAGTGTTCCATGCAGTTCTTAACCTTTTGAGGTGATGCATTGTGCTGAATTCTGCTGCTGTTTTATAAATGCTAAAGTTGGGTCTGGCTTGAACTGATTACATTCTGTGTGGATAAAATAAAAAAATGCCTTAGACTGAGTCAGACCACTGCATTGACAGGGTTACATCTTGTAATTGCCTATGGCTCTATCAGTTTGGCCAGAGATCCGTTTCTAGCCAGCTCTGTCATGGAGCAGCCTTTAAATTGGAGGTGACAGGGATTAAACCCGATCGCTTCTGAATGTGAAGCAGATGTTCCACAAACTGATCTGTGGTTGCTTCATAGAAATGACAGGATTGAAGAAGTGTGTTGTGTGAGAAAGGAAGGTTCCAAATTGTAGTTTGGTACTTGTTCCATGTGTTTGTATGATAAAGTCACATAGACCCTTTTTCTCTGGCTGGTTCTTACAACAATCGTGCTGGGTGGGACATTAAAATATTGATGATTCATATTAAAATATATAGCATTCAGAGTCCCATTCCAGTTACATTTCAGATCAGTGGCCAGAATCCTACTGTAAACATACACCAGCATCACGTATAAGAGTTTAAATTGCTGGGGCAAATTGCCATTAAATTGCTGGGGCAAATTGCCACTAATTAACAAGTTGCTGTTTGCATTTCTAGTGACATGAATGCAAGCAGCAACTCATTTAGTGACAATTTGCTACCACATTTTACACCATTACCCATACTGTATATTGGTGTATTTGCAGCTACCTTGTTCAATTGATTGCGCGTGATTTAGCCAACACTTTCTGGTTTGATGCCTAGCAGACCTAAATAAAATTACTCCAGGTTGCAGTCTGTAGTTAATAGTTCATTCACAGAGTCTATAGTTAAAGTAGCATGTAAATCCAGGTGAAAACCTAGTACCTCAGCTTAGCTTGTAAGTTGTTTTTATTGATGTATATTTAACAAGTGCAGTCTCAGGTGAGATCATCCCAATGTCTCCAGTGCATTTCACAAAAATCTTGCCTTTTCTAAAGTGTTTTCCCTTCTATTTTTTTAGATGTTAATGATTGCTCACCAAACCCATGTCATAACGGAGGCCAGTGCATTGATTTAGAGAATGACTTCCACTGTGAATGCACAAATGGCTGGAAAGGCAAAATATGCCATTCAAGTAAGTGCATTCTAGACAGTATATCCATGAAAATAATGAGAAATTGGAAAGGAAGTTCCATTTTGCAATAGCAAGTTTGATGATGGAAGTCATGCACAAACAAGTCCAATAACTGGCTATCTTTCTGCAAGTGAAATCACAGATATTTCGGAGGCATATCAAAATAAGCTGGGGCTCTTTCAAATCACCCTAGCAATTATTTGTTGAGATGAAAAGTTACTTTTTCTGTCTGATAGTAGTATTTTATTTAAAAAATGTTCTCAATTACAGCTTTTGGAACTATTTGTTTAATAAGTAGTAGGTAAAATCCTGTTCTCATAGTTATGCTGGATCTGGGTGCTAGAAATAATCAACTGAAATTAATTAAAAGATTCCTGTCATCGTCCCCCCCATGGCCCTTCAGGTTCGTGAGCGGTCTAAGGCTCCTTTTTGCTCAGGGAAGCCTTTGGCAACCTCGGGACAGGAAGTAGGAGCCTTTTATAATTAAAAATCACTGCCACTTGTAATCTTCTGGTGGTGATCAGGCAGCGGTTTTTGGTGATTGAGGCTCTGCCATCCAGTTTATGCTGGGGTAATTAGGAGCACAGGATTTTGTCCAGTATTTAGTTAATTTATATGTATTCATTCATGTTCGTTTCTTATCCTAAAAAATCTTGGATTGTTCATTTTGAAAAGTGACAACCCTCGTGTTTGTTGCTTATTTAATATCCTATATCTAGTCCCATAAAATAAAAAAATTAAATTCTGTTGTATCAAGCAAAGAAAAGGAAGGGAACATACATATATGACCACCTTTTTACATTTGACTGGATGATCTTTAGGTGAATACCAGTGTGATGCAAATACTTGTACCAATGGAGGGACGTGTTATGATGATGGTGATACTTTCCGATGCTCTTGTCCCCCAGAGTGGAAAGGAAGCACTTGCAACATACGTAAGTGGTTTATCTCTTCAGACTGGAAGTGCATCTGCTTTGCTCAGGAAGCCAATTATAAGCAGTCTGTGTTTCTTCCTCTCCCAATCTCACTGAATGACCAGGAGAAAGAAGAGGAATAGTCTGCAGGTTTACTGTTGATTAATTTTGTTTACATCTAAGTATGGGGTGTTACAAGAAAGAAAGAAACAAAGGGAGAGAGGTAACGCCAATAAACAGTTTTGTAGTATAGTGATAATTGTGATTATTTTAATGGTATTTTTGTTCTATTTCTTTCATTTTCAACCACAACAAGTGGAAGGGGGGCAGAATATTGAATTCAAGAAGTACAAAGATGGAAATAAATCATGACATAAGGCAATGTCCCATACTCCAATGAATGAAAACTAGAGAGGACATGGCTAGATTCCCAACTTGACAGATGTTACTCTGTCTTCTTTTCAAGCTGCAAAACCTTTGTTGGGAAGAGGCCTTTGATCTGTGTTGGTTGATAGCTGCAGTTGCATTATTTCATATAGTTAAAACTGTAGACTAATGATCAAACTAGACAAAACAGGTAGTGCCTCTTTAGAAGCTGGAAATGTGTTCCCAGTGACATGATTTCTTTCCAGGTGTGATGCTTGAACAATCATACTTGAGAATAAATCCTGTGTTTAGCATCAAATTGTCAGTCACAAAACAAAGCAAGTTGATCTGTAGACGAATGCAAAAAAGATCACGTTATTACTATCAGACATCTTTCCTTATTTAAGGAGCCTCTGGTTCTAATGACAGACTGTTGTTTCAGAAAGGCAGAATACAAATGCTCCTAAGACAGTGCCTACTCAGGATGACAGCTGAACATTTATATTAAAAACCGGTGGTGGAAAAGTTTTATTTTTGTTTGTTTGTTTCTCCAAAAGCTAAAAACAGCAGCTGTACTCCTAACCCGTGTTTGAATGGTGGAACCTGTGTTGGAAGTGGAGATTCCTTTTCCTGTATTTGTAAAGAAGGTTGGGAAGGGCGCACATGCACTCAGAGTAAGTTGTATATTTTTCCCCCTTTGCTGTTAATTCTCCCATTTTTAATGGCTGTAATCCTTCAGAATAACCTACTGTTTTCTTATGAGGCTCTGTTGACTGCCTAAGAATGGGCGTACGCACCCTAAGCTTTGTACAGACTGAGCTATATATCTTGTTAGTACAGTTTCTCTTAGTATTGCATTTGGGGATTTTACTAGCATACCGATATGCTGATTTTTCTTAGGTGTGGCCCGCTTTAGTTTTTGACTCAAGACAGAACATGCACAAAATGTTGCATTTCATCTAAATCTCTAATACTGCTTTGAAATTATCTTTAATAACATCTGTCTCTTGGTTAAATTGTTCTGAGCACTATAAACAATGGTGATTACTGCCGTTTACTTATACCTGAAATGGTTTGAGGGTGGGGACGATGGCACGGGTTGTTTTTGTCTAAAGGGCTGTTACCCCAAATGGGTTACTGTTCTTTATATCATGGGGAGAGGGATATTGAGAAGAGAGAGAGCCCAGCCACACTACTGAAAAGAATAATTTTGGGTTAAGCACTGTTCATGTAACATTTATTGATAGAACATAAGACAAAAGGTACCAAGAGGCCTCTCATTCATACTTCTCATTCACACAAGATACTCAGTCATCCAGAAGCCCCTTCTCTGGCGGGGACCAGTCCTCAGAGAGGGTGATGGGAGCAATCGTTGCAGCACTGTCAAAGCCCACCGTCTGTTCCTGGGTCATCCCCTTTACAGGCCTTTTCCTTGTGAGCTGTGTCAGTGGGCTAAACCTGTGCTGGCACAAGCACACAGGGGCAGACCTTGACTCCCTGGGCAGATCCAATTTGCTGATGTCGAGCAAAACTGCTCTTCACCTGTATCTCCCATCGCAGCTGTGGCCGCTTCCCTCTTCCATAAACCTGCTTTCTCCAGTTTTAGTTACCCGTATTTTTCGCTCCATAAGATGCACCTTTCCATAAGACGCACCAATTTTTTAGGAGAAGAAAACAGGAAAATATAATCTGTTTTCTTCACTCCATAAGACGCACAGACTTTCCACCCCCCTGTTTTGTGGGGGGAAAGTGTGTCTTATGGTGTGAAAAATACGGTATATTTGGACTTCTTGTTCCAGTTCACTTCCCTCTTGTCTGGGCAAAACAATTGCAAAAGTCCAAACCTTTGCCCATGCAGCAGTCTCTTATTAATAACGAAACTGTCTTTGTCTGCTATTTGCAACTTCTTTTGCAGCTCCGTATTAGGCACCCTATCCCATTTTTGTTTTAAGCCTGTGGTGCTAGTCTTTTCTTATCTATCCATCCATCCATCCATCCATCCATCCATCCATCCATCCATCCATCCATCCATCCATCCATCCATCCATCCATCCATCCATCCATCCATCCATCTATCTATCTATCTATTTAATTTGTTATATTTATAGCCTGCCCATCTAGTCATACCGACTACTCTGGGTGGGTAACAATATATCAAATCTAAATACAATTTAAAATCATAACAACATATTACTAAAAAACACAATGATCCGGATGGGAGAAGGCACAAAAAACAAAATCAGACGGTGGATGGAGGAAAGTCTTGCTTCAACAACCAGGTTTACAGTTGGCATTTGAAGATTTTCTGGAACACATACACTCTGTATCACACACTACCTCTCATAACAGGGCCATACATTTGCCTCATTAGCTATTCCAGAGCTTTTTAACCTATTCTTCCCCAGTTGAGAGTTTGTTCAGTTAGGTGAGAGGATTCCTCCATTTACTTCAAGCTAAAGTTTAGCTTTATAGTCAAAAGGCAAAGAAGGGATTTGCTAATTGTAGCCTAATCATTAGTACACAAAAACGTGTGTATAAGAAAGATCTGGCCTGAGGTTTCCAATCATGAGAATTTATTTAAAGTCAGTTTTTTAAAAAGGGAATAAGAAGGAGTAAAAGGGAGAAAATGAACAATGCCCAATAGTACTGTCCCTAAGTGGCTTGCATAACACTCAGCATCATGCCTGCCAGAAGCAAGTTTCTCTTCCCATATGTTCCATGTTAGATTGGAGTAACATAAGAGCAAATCCCCATGTAATCAGTGGGGCTATTCTAGTGGGTCTCACTGTGTTAAGCAACAGGATTTCAAGCACTGTCTGAGGAGAAAATCACTCTTCTGAGAGCCAAACCAGATGTTCACTTTTAATTGGACATGTGTTTACCTATAAAATGAGGTGATGTCTATTTCTAATGTCAGAGCTAGTATGGGGATTATTGGACTTTCATCATATAAGAGTTGGGTTGGAAGGGGACCTGTAAGACCATTTGAGTCCAGTCCCCTTTTCAGTCTTTTAAGTTGGACACAAACTTTATGCAATGCACTATGGAAAAGAATTGAAATAGTGATAGAAGTAAGGTTATTGACGTGCATAAGACTAAAATTGTGGCATATGATAGTATAATGTATTAGGGTATAGATTGTGTGCATAGTTTGTATTGTTTATCTCCTGTTATCCTTAAGGATTGTCAATAAAAATCAGTTTTTAAAAGTATCTAGAGGGGGGGAGGGCTTGAAATCTGCCTGCTTCTCAGCATGGTCAGTAATTGTCACCATTCTGGCATAACCCAGCTCTGATGTTGAAAATGAGCTGGGTTGGGCGGGGGGGAGGGAAGAGAGAGGGGATGTTTTATAGTTGCAGGGCTGGGCAGTTTAAAAAGGTCTGGGAGCTGCATCTGGCCCATTCCTGTCCCCACCCCTGATCTACATAGGCCACACCTGTAGATTTTGAAGAAACCTTGAGGAACATCATTTTAGGATTCCCATTTTTGTTTGGGACCAGAACAAAGGAAGAGATGAATTAATGAGCAAAGATAGCATTTAATAGTATAATCATGTGTCCTTTAGAACAGTCGTTCCCAGCCTTGGATAACCCAGATGTTCCTGGACTGCAACTCCCAGAAACCTCAGCCAACACATATGGTGGTGAAAGCTTCTGGAAATTGCAGCTCTGGAACACTTGGGTGATCCAAGGTTGGGAACCACTGCTCTAGAAAAAAAAAAGCTGCCAGTCCATGGGCATGGGGGAGGGGGGGTTCCACAAACTACACATGGACTACATGTGGCCTATTCTTTCCTACATAAAAAGTAGATACACCCTAAGTTTGTTAAAGCTTAAATAGACAAGTACATCAGCCTTGTCTGTCTGGTTTGACCTGAAGGTTAAATAAGATGAGTGTGCTGTTGTCATTCAAGTTATGGGGAAATGTTTTGCACACACAAATGTGCCTGGATCTACTAAATCAGGATCCATATCTAATATTGTCTGCATATTTCAATGGAGTAATCTATTTTTGTCTTCTCTGTTTAGATATTAATGACTGCAATCCTCACCCATGGTAAGTACTCAAGGACATACTCCTTTTTTAATGTCATAATACAATGGTTGAATATAAATAAACTTTTGAATCAAGGCCTTCTAATCCCTCTACTCTCGACTTTTATCTTGGTCTCGTGGTGCCTGATTTCTGCTCAGCCATGGTATATGGGATTTGTAGCTGTGAAGATTCTGTAAATATTAGTTGTCTGAAAAAAAATTGAATATACCCACTAAAACTGGTAATATAATTTAATTCTGAGTATTTGTAATCTATATTAAGAGTGAAGGGGAAACTAGGAATACAGTAATGAAGTGGATGGCATGGAAACACTGTGATGCAGAGTAGTTTTGCAATACTCAAGATTACATAATATCTTAGGATATATTCTGTGTCCGTTTTGATAAATCACAGACTTAATTGTGCTTTAAAAAGGGAAGTTTATCTGCAAACTTATATTCTGCTCCATATTTTCAAACCTAATGTTATTAGGAGTCATAAACAGAAATCTTTTAATTGTGTGCTAAAAAGCAGGACAAACAGGGCTTCCCCCAGCAAACAGATCAGGGATGTGACATGGCCAGGTCAGAAGAGACCTTAGGTCTCCAAGAATAAAAGCTTTCACAGTCAGCGCCCCAAAATTAAGAGAGGTTTTGTAGCAGCCCAGAAGGTGACTAAACTATGGGCTGCTATTATTTGCAGTGGACTGGAAATAACTGAGCAAGGTACAGGAACAAAAAAATAGACTTGAGGAGGGGGAGGCCTATTTCTTTCTATTTCAGTTCCATAATACAATGTAAGCATGGTACGTCTTTGGGTAGCTTTGAAGACATTGATGTTCACCGTCCCTGAGTTAATGGTTAGGATTGTCCTCTTAAGTAAGGGGTCCCCAACCCTTGGTCCACAGCCTGGTGCCACTCCGTGGGCGTCGCAGGATCGGGCCGCGGAGACAGAGCTCCCGCTGCCGCCACCCCCACAGTGGGCATGGCGCGCTCATGCACATGTGGGGGGTGAGCAGGCACGTTAATGGGTGGGTATGACGCACTTGCACGCCCCATTCACCTGCAAGTGTGCCATGCCTAACTGCACATGTGCACAAGCTTGCCATGGTCTCATGTGCGTGAGCACGCCACACCTATCTGAGAACATGCCACCCCCACCCACGAGCACAGGTGGTGTCGCCGCCCCTCTGCGCACGGCCACCAGCCCCCAACTGGTCCACAGTTCCAAAAAGGTTGGGAGCCATTGCTCTAAGTAACATTAAAGTAACAAAAAGCAAAGGTAAACCTGTTGGTCATTTAAAAAATGCCAAATTGGTTATTATCCTAATAAGCTTATAAGGCCAACCAAAAGGGCACAGCATCAGCTTTTGTGAAACCTGTCTCCAGCTGTCAATGATTGCAGAGTTTGTGTGTTTCTGTAACTTAGTAGAACTGCTTTTGAAATCTCTGGCAGGCATGAGGTCTTGAAACATGATCAACTTCTTTGATATAAAATCTAAGTATAATATGGACAGCTTTACTGAAAACTATCAGCTAACTTTGGATTGTGTTTTTATTTCTAAGCCTGCATACTTAAAACATTTGATTAAAAATTTATTTTATAGTTCTTCCCATTGCTTCTTAAGATCTGCCCTATAGCTGTCTGTCTTTTTTGGGCAGAATCCTATTTGTTCATACTTACACAAGAAACTGTCCAAGCACTCATGCAACAGATTGGTGTCAAGTAGAAAGAATTAACTGGATTCTGCCCATTTTTCTCAACTTCTAGAGAGTATGTGGAGTTAAATGAAACCTGTTTGTATCCAAGACCATCCCTGGTAAACTGTTTTTGTTGATAGGAATGTTAACATTATAAACTACTTTATGACTCTGGGATGCTGCACTGTTGACAAGTGACAGAACTGTTGATGTATATACAGTGGTGCCCCGCATAGCGACATTAATCCGTTCCGGATTAATCGTCGCTATGCAGGAACATTGCCAAACGGAACAGAAAAAGCCATAGGAACGCATTAAACTTCGTTTAATGCATTCCTATGGCTCCCAAACTCACCGTTGACCGAAGTTCCTCCATAGCGCCACCATTTTCATGCCCTCGGTAAGCGAGGGCAGGGCGCGAAAACACTTGCGGTGGCCATTTTGGGCACCCGGCGGCCATTTTGGAACCACCAATCAGCTGTTTAAAAAAACATCGCAATGCTAAGATCGGTAAGCAAAACGCTTACCGATCATTGCAATGTGATGTTTTGCCTATTCAGAACATCGCAATGCAATCGCATTAGCGATCTAAAAAAATAGATCGCTATGCGGATTCGTCGTTAAACGGTGCAATCGTTATGCGAGGCACCACTGTAATAGAAATTTTCATTTCAATTAGCTCTTTTGTCTCTTAGTTTATGAAACTACTCTCACAACCTTCATTGCAATGATTGGTTTGTCATTTTTACAGTTACAATGGAGGCATTTGTGTTGATGGTGTGAATTGGTTTCGCTGTGAATGTGCACCTGGCTTTGCTGGTCCGGACTGCAGAATTAGTGAGTACCTACACTATATAGAGAAAGGGCTATGGAGGTCGTGCTATTAACCTAGACTCTTTGTCATATGTAACCCTTGACTTGCTGTGCATTAAACTGTATCCTAAATATGAAGGGGAGACTAATTATTCATAGGTGGTGATCCTGACCTTAATAGAGAATGGTGATTTCTTTGTCTGAGGTCAGAATCCATTTCCTTATTTGATGAACACAACTAGAATGACCTGATTTAAATGGTATTGAAACTCTACAATCAATTTCTAAGCAGATTTTTCATGAACCTTTTCTGGCTTGCTCATATTGGTATAGTTGAAGAGGATTTCCATATATAATCTCTTAATACTTCCGTAAGACTTTCCAAAGTGTGTATCTATGTGTACTATAAAGGGACGTGGTGGTGCTGCGGGTTAAACTGCAGAAGCCTCTGTGCTATAAGGTCTGTAGGTCTTCAACTGTAAGATCAAGTCCACGCGACTGAGTGAGCGCCCGTCGCTTGTCCGAGCTCCCGCCAACCTAGCGGTTCGAAAGCATGCAAACGCAATTAGATAAATAGGGACCACCTCAGTGGGAAGGTAACACCGTTCCGTGTCTAAGTCACACTGTCCATGTGACCACGGAAGATTGTCTTAGGACAAACACTGGCTCTGTGGCTTGGAAACAGGGATGAGCACCGCCCCCTAGAGTCGAACACGACTAAACAAAAATTGTCAAGGGGAACCTTTACCTTTTAAGTTATGTGTACTATGTGTCCAAAGTACAGTGGTACCTCAGCTTACGAACGTCTCCACTCACGAACATTTCGAGTTACGAACAGCTCTGTTCGGAAAATGTTGCTTCGACTTGCAAACGGAGCTTTGACTTATGAACAAAAAAATCTTCCCTGCCATTTTTTGACCTAAGTTCTTGTTAGGTCAAAAGAAAATTTTTTTAAAAAAAATTGCTCCCTAGTGGCAGAGTTTTGAATTGTGGTGCTGGAGGAGACTCTTGAGAGTCCCGTGGACTGCAAGGAGAACAAACCTGTCCATTCTAAAGGAAATCAAGCCTGAGTGCTCACTGGAAGGACAGATCCTGAAGCTGAGGCTCCAATACTTTGGCCATCTCATGAGAAGACTCCCTGGAAAAGACCCTGATGTTAGGAAAGTGTGAGGGCAAGAGGAGAAGGGGACGACAGAGGATGAGATGGTTGGACAGTGTCATTGAAGCGACCAACGTGAATTTGGCCCAGCTCCAGGAGACAGTGGAAGACAGGAGGGCCTGGTGTGCTCTGGTCCATGGGGTCACGAAGAGTCGGACACGACTAAACAACTAAACAACAACAAGTGGTAGAGTATGGATTAACCGGCTTTGCTTTAGTTCCTATGGGAACTAATGCTTCTACTTGTGAACGGCGCCTCGGCATAGGAGGAGCCTCGTGGCGCAGTGGTTAAGCCGCTGTACTGCAGCCAAAACTGTGCACACGAGCTGGGGTTCAATCCCAGGTAGCTGGCTCAAGGCTGCCTCAGCCTTCTATCCTTCCAAGGTCGGTAAAATGAATACCCAGCTCGCTGGGGGGGGGGCAATGTGTAGCCTGCATAATTAACTTGTAAACCGCCCAGAGAGTGCTTGAAGTGCTATGGGGCGGTATATAAGCAGCACGCTTTGCTTTTTGCTTTGGCATAAGAACGAAAAACAGCCAAAACAGACTAAACGGTTTTCAATGCATTCCTATGGGAAATTTTGCCTCAACTTAAGAACTTTTTGACGTACAAATGCCATTCCAATACGGATTAAATTTGTAATCGAGGTACCACTATAACTGCATCCAGTTTGAGGTAAATATTAATACTATAGTATTATAAAAAGGTAACATGTCCAGTAATTGTGCATATTAACATGGCGCAACCCTTGAACAGAATGTCCTTTCTTCTTCGGTTGTTCAACAGTATTACCAGATACTTGAAGGATGGTCACCCTATGTAAAACTGGCAAAGTGGTTCATTTAGCTGCCCAGCTCAGTATCTGTGCACACAAACAAATGACCTTTAAGTTCTTCACAGCTGAAAATAGTTATTTCCCCTAGTTCAATGAGTAGAGACATAAAGGCTTCTAGAACCTAAAGTCTTCGAGTAAGAATCTTTTCAATTAAGTGCCCCTGTTTTAATTATTTTTATTTTTAAACTACTAGGAGTGGGATAGGGAATACAAAAGGTAAAAGGGAGTGCAGGGGATGGAAAGGAAGGTTTGAGGATAGGAGAACACAGAGTATATAATCATCCATTCTATTCATATTAAGTATGTATGCCTCTGATCCACTCATTTTCCAGTACAAAAAAATCTTTGTATTCTTTTATTTATTCATATACATATACACACACACATACTATTTGATTATCCTCTGTATAACCGCTTATATCCGTGTTTTAATTTAAGTCTAAGTTATTCCAACTCTATCATAGAGTCGAGCCCAATTATAGAACACATCCCCTCTTTGATTTTCCTTCTGCCATGGACATATCAGCCTATCTGGAAAGCTATCCATTTCTGGCACTTCCCATATTTTCTCAGTACATTTTTACCGTTTCTGTGCCTCTATTTTCTTCCAATCTTGGGGAGATAAAGTTAAATCCAAAACAGTAGTCTGATTTTTAAAATCACCGTTTCTGACTATTATAGCTAGGTATCCCACATGGAACCCTCCAATCCCCTCTATGTTACCAACCATGTTACCTGGCATCTCTCTCAATAAAAACTGTTCTGGAGTTTCAATTTCATTCAATTGCTGTTTAGCCTCTAGTGGTTTCCCCGTCATCAGGTCTTCTGTCTGCCCAAGTTTCTGACTTATCTGCTGAAATCCTATTATTGCCATTCGCATGGTAACCATCCATTCTTTGTCTGACAACATTCCCACTAAGTATGTCCTCCTCCTCCTTGCCCAGAAATTATCACAGTATACTCAGAATCCACACAGTCCAGCCAAAAGAGGGTCCAAAATAAACATCAAACAGGAAACCTTCTAAAAAGAAAAAACCGTCGTAGTCCTGTAATAACTCCAGATCTAATTTTCTTTGGTCCTCCGTCTGTTCTGCTGAGTTCCTCTCGCTGCTCAGTTAATAGTTGCCTGTGCCTCTTGCTCCAAAGATGTGGTTTTATTTTCAAAGTCCACTCAGTTAGTAAGGGAAGTCCAGATTGCACAGCTTTGACAAGATTTCAGTCCCTCTTGAGTGGTATTTCCTGTGGGATTTTTTCCAGAAACACAAAGTTTTTCTCACAATGTATCTAAATGACCTTGGCCAGCTTGGAATACACTTGCTATTTATCAGATAGTTCGCTTTAGGAAAAAAAAAAACAAGCTGGTATGCTGGCTTGCCGCTTCCTCTCTCTCCTTTTGGTCAAATATTTTCGCTTTATTTTCTTCCAAATATTGATGAGGTTATTCATAAATCAGAGGCTTACTTTGCTGTTGTTTCTGTTCTCCTTCCTCGAGAAGTTGGGGGTGGAGTTTTTCCACAGCTTTCTGCCATAAGATATGGCTTCCCGTCTCCGGTCTGCGCGTAGGTGAATTTTCAGAGGGAAGAAAGACCCAGTTGCTGCCAAATCTTCTACCCTTCTGGGCTCACCTGCTTGGGGGTGCCTCTCCTGGCTCCCCTTCCGTCCCCCCCTTCTTAGGGGGACTGGCAGGCCGGACAGTTCCAGTTTTCCCCGGAGCTGTTCACCGGGTGCTGCTGGCTTCACTGCAGTCAAGCTCCGCCTCCTCAAAATTAAGTGCCCCCATGGGAGGCATTATCGTTCACTCCTTCACATCATTGAGAGAATGGATGTCTTCTTTGTTAATGATGCATTCAAAGCTTAGTGTAGGGAAGCTCACAGATTCAAGAGGTTGTTTTCCACTAAGCTCCTTATGATCTCAGTCTTCCTTAACTTATCTGGTAAAACCTTGAGACAAAAAGAAAAAAATGGAGATTGGTGAGCCAAGGAAGATGCTAAGAATCAAGACATGAGCGAGAACTGAGAAAAAGATTAAATGTTTGTGCTTAAAAGCAGAATTATGGTGCCATCAACATACCCTCTAACTTTCAGCTCTTCTGGGCGGGCTCCCCCTCGCTCTCGCAACTTTGCCCCTGTTCACATCGCACACACGCGGGTGCACACACACACATTCTGGGTTCTGTTGCAACCGGAACCTAACATGATTGCTGCACGAAGGAGGAAGACAGCTGCATGGAGGGAGGCACAGGAGCACACCCAGCTTGGAGGGAACCTTTGCTGCTATTGTATTCATATAAGCATATTAGTATTCTTAAGTGCAAAATTCGGATTGGAAAAGGGTACTTATAGCTCTGGTTGGAATTCTCACTAATCATTAGGTTCTGACTCTTGTTGGAATCCGGAGATCAATAGTAAGTGAGCGCTACCTTTTTGAGCTACGTATCTATTTAGCATCTTCTCAGAGAAGACAACTCAGGATTCCTTGAAGATAGTAAGCTACTTTGAGCAGTACATTGTAGTGGAAAGGCAAAGTTAAAACGCTCTTTAAAACATTTTCATTTTTGGAATACTTTTTCAGTGAGTGACTCTGCTAAAATGATGATGAACTTTAATTAAGCTACATATATGCAAAATGGCTGCTGCATTTGTTGCTGTCTGAATAAATGTCCCTTTATGTCCAATTGAGATCTAGTTGGGCTGAACTGCATCCTAGAATTGTAACAGTTTACACCCTAGGAATTACATTAAAATGTTTCTGGTGTTTCTTCGATTTCTAGATATTGATGAATGTCAGTCTTCCCCTTGTGCATATGGTGCTACTTGTATTGATGAAATAAATGGCTATAGATGCACGTGCCCTCCTGGGCGAGTTGGCTCTCGATGCCAAGAAGGTAAGTCAAAGCTTTTAACTAAGACCAGTACCAAATGCTACTTGAAGTTCAGTGTCCTGTACACCACAGCATATATTATAGTTTAGCTGTAAACTGAAATTGCTATTCTCTTTTGTGGCTTAGATCTGTACATAGATCACATTACTGCTTTCTCTTTCCTCCCACACCCCAGTGATAGGCTTTGGGAAGTCCTGCTGGCTGAAAGGAACATCCTTTCCACACGGCAGTAGGTGGGAACAAGAATGCAACAACTGCCACTGTCTGGATGGCCACATCGACTGCACCAAGGTGAGTATCTGACCTCAAATCTAAATTTACACTGCAACCTTCTCTTCCTCTAAATTCTGCAACTCTGTTGAGATATTTCCTCCCCTGTTAACTTAGTTAATGTGTTTCTGTGACATGTTAACCATACAGCTGCATTAAGAATTGTTAGTTGCTAGCTGATCATCATTTGATACTAATGTGATGTTTAAGAAAATAGCTTCAAATGAATGAGAAAGAAGGATAGTTCCACACTTGCATGTTCTAACCAGGAATTTCTGCTTTAGAGAAAAGTGAGTTTGAATTCTAAGGCACCTCCACTGCCGTTTTGATGATAAATGTAACAAAATCACCTCCAACTGGTGTCTCCTAAGCCTGAAAATACCGAGGCTGAAATCCCATACAATGCTGGTTGGAGATGAGGGGCCCTTTCCCATCCTCATGACGCCATTAGAGCTGCTCAGAAGCCAGTTTTAGAGGGTCCTATAGCCCTCTTGAACAAGTGTTTGGGAGGCTGCAGTGGAGATGGGGAGTTGCACCATCCCCTTTTGCCCTGGATTCCACTTTTGTGTGGTTTCAGCCCCAAGTCTTAGAGCTTCCTAATACTAAGCTCTGATAGGATAGGAGCACTGTTTTCTCTTATGTCTTTGAATAAAATTCAGGCTGAAGAAAAACTCCCACCTCCCCTTCTGCTTTCTCTGTCTCCCACCTAACATACTACTTTTGTAGTTAATGTAGGAGAGAAAGGAGAAAGTCTACTAGTTGGAAACAAATTCCATTACTTTCATTGGAACTTGGACTGAACATCTACAGTATTATAGCAGAGGTCCCCAACCCCTGGTCCGCGACCCAGCTTGGATCTGCGGCCTGTCCAGGACCAGGCTGCAGACACAGATCTACCCCCATGAGCGTGTTCTGCCCCCTGCGAGCATGCCATGCACATCCATGTGAGCACATTCCGCCCCCTGCAAGTACACTGTGCGCATGCATGCAAGCCTCCCCCCCACAAGTGCAAGCTCCACCCCCCCTTGCAGGTGTGCCACACACCTCCAACCGGTCAGTGATTGGGAAAAGGCTGGGGACCACTGTATTAAAGCTTCCAATGGTCATGCTGCTCAAACACGTAAAATCTCTATTTTGCAGTTCCAAATAATTAGTGGCTTCCAGGTGGCTGAAAAAGTATTTCTGTTTTCCCTTACTCTAGGTCTAAGGAAGACTGATCTCACGCTCTTCCCTTTCTGCTTTTTCAAAGTCATTAGAAGTTATTGTGATCACAGTGTGGAAAGTATCAGTTTGTTTCTCCTTAGTGAAGGAAGCTGTTGGACTCAGCAGTTCTGTTTGACTTCATGCCCTATCTTCTCAGACTTTCCTGGACCATGCAAACGATTTCTTAGGTATTTTTGGACTGTATCTGCCAATAGCTGTAGCTAGCATAGCAAGTGTTGAAGAATGATAGGAGTTGCAGTCCAACGACATCTACACGGCCACACTTTTCCCTTCCTTGACCTAAGCAAACTACTGCAGTCTCTTTGCAACAAAACAGCTGCATAACAGATGCTTTTGCATGTGAATGAACAAACATGCTGTCTCCAGCTGTTTCTTTGACTCTAAAGCAGTTGTTATACCCTAAAGTGAATACAATTATCTTGACTTCTAGGTGTGGTGTGGGAGGAAACCTTGTTTGTTTTCCAAACCTGTGGACCATGCTAGCTACCAGTGCCCCAGAGGTCAAGAATGCCAAGAGAATATGTATATCAAATGTTTCCAACCACCTTGTGCTGACTGGGGAGAATGCAGCGAATCGGAACCCCTGCTTGCCAACATCAAGTGTCCTCCCAATTCAAACTACTTGGACAATAGCTGTGCAAGAATTACTCTGATTTTTAACAGAGACAAAGTACCTCAGGTGAGAATGTTACATCTTATTAAGACCTTGACACCTGGAATGAATCATTCTGCTTGCAAGAATCTAGCTTTCTGTTAATTGGAATGTCTCAGTAATGGAATTTTGGGAAATAAATCTGTCCCTATAGGTTTTTCTGAGCCAAGAACAGGAGGTGCTGCTCCTAAACATGTGAATTGTTTTGAATTCACTCTGTAACCGTTTATTTTGTATGATTGCGATTTTAAAATACTATTTTAAGGTACATAAGCAAAGTGGCATTATGTACAATCTGTCCATTTGTGATTTCTTGAAATGTTTCTTCATCCTGGGGGTTTTCATGTGTTCTGCTTAAAGTTCTCACTTTATGCTTCTGTGTGTTTTAAGGTTGGGGTTGGGTTGTATTTTAAATGTCAGACAAGAGATGGAGAAAATTAATATTTTTACTACAACTCAGTAAGCATGGCTACTGGCCATACTGTAAATATCTTCTGGTTGCCAGAAAGCACCAAAGTAGTTCAGAAGATCAGTCTATATTTTATAGACAACAACGAAGCCTTTGGTTGAGTAGATCATAAGAATCTATTGGTTGTTCTGAAAGGAATGGGAGTGCCTCAGCACTTGATTGTCCTGATACATGACATTTTGTGGACAAGAAGCTACTGTTAGGATAGCATATGGAAAAACAGAATTGTTCTGTATAGACAAAGGTGTCATATAAGGGTGTTCAATACATATGCAGAACTGCATATGTATTGAACTAGATCCAGATGACATTTACCTGTTCAATACATATGCAGAACATATCTGCATATGTATTGAACTAGATCCAGATGAACAAAGAGTAGAAATTGGTGGAAGAAACATTAATGTAAAATATGCAGATGACAACTTCTTACTGGCAGAGAGCAGCAAAAACTTGAAATGTTTTTTAGTGAGAGTGAAAGAAAAAAGTGCCAGAGCAGTTCAAGTTGAACGTTAAGGCCAAAATCGTGGCTACAGAAGAACTACACAGCTTTAACATAGGCAATGAAGATATTGAAATAGTTTGAGATTTTATATATCTTGGTTCAGTCATCAGTCCAAACGGAGACTCGGAGGTGGGGCATCATTGAGGTGAAGATCGGACATACACAGGTCTTGCTCCTGGGACATACTAATCCCTACCCAGCTGGAAAGATCCCAAGAGGGATCTGAAGACACCTTTCAGGAAAGGAAGACATTGAGCAACCAGTGACTTCAATTTGAGCTTGGATGTTCTTCTTCGTTGCAATTTGAGCTTGGATGATTGTTGAGAGCCAAGAGATCCAGCTCAGAGGCAAGCATAATAAGCACCAGCTGGGAAAGGGCCATCTTGGCACAAAGCCTGCAACGCCCCAAGGCAGAATGAGAGTGAGAACGAAAGAATTCTAAAAATATACTGCAATCAAAATCAACATAAAAGAAACAGTAAGCTAAAACAGTTGTTGGATTTAGGGGGTATTGAGATTAAAAACAAACAGAAATTGAAGAAAGGGAGGAGGGGAGAGGCACATGAATATGGGTTGAAACTAAATGAGACAGCTTGAAGCGGGTCCTCTACTTCCCCAGCTACAAAATGGTAAGGAAGATAATTTCTTAAAACAAAACTATAAAGAAATAGCACACTCGCTGTCTCTGTAACACCATCGGAGAAAGTTTTCAATGTGTGAAGTTCTTTATTCTATCTGTCCTCCCACCACCTCCACCTCACATCCACCACCTCCACCCCACATCCTACCTTGTGTGAGAGTGTCAGACTATGCTGGACTATGATCAGACCCAAGGGAGAAAGGGGAGATTATTCAAGGCTGGAATAAAAAGGCATCTCTGTGAATTATTGGTGAAGGAGTGAAAGGACAGAAAGGCTACTGATAACAGACATTGCTGAGAGGAGGCTCTGGAGACATAACTAACTCATTAAGTTTGGGGAATTTGTGGACTATTTTACAATGGTGTCCTGCAAGACAACGTTAATCCATTCCATTGAAATCGCTGTCTTGTGAAAACATCGTCTTGCGAAAACCGTTTCCCCATTGGAATGCATTGAAATCCGTTTAATGCGTTCCAGTGGGGAAAAATAGTCGTCGTTTTGCAAAGATCGCCCATAGGGAAGCCATTTTGCGAAGCGCGGATCAGCTGTTAAAATGGCTCTTGCGAAGCATCGGTCCCGAAAACACCTGTTTTGCGAAGCGCTGATCAGTGTCAAAATCGTCACCTTACGAAAAACGGTTTGCGAAGCAGGGACCCAAACAGCGTCCAGTGAAAATCGCCCATTGGAAACACTGTTTTACGAAGCACTATAATGATCGCAAAACCTCATAATCATGCAGATTCGTTTTGCGAGGTCATCGTCTAGCGGGGCACCACCAGGAGGCGGAAGAATCAGAGGGAAGGAAGAGAACTACAAGGAGGAAAACGAATATAAACACAGGACATTTAAAAAAACAGTTTAAAAGAAAAACATTAACAGTGACATCTACTGCATTTTCAAGAGAAGACAAAAGAAAGAAGAAAACAAAGACTATTAACTTAATTTCCATTCTTACCTTAACAGAATATAGAGACATTGGAACATTAATGGGTGTGATATATTCTTAATTCAATATTGAATTATCTGATGGTCAAATTAGATTTTTGTTTTAGGAGGAGTATATTAATTTTGAGATACCTTACACACAGCTTAGTTAAAATGGCTGCAAAAGGATCTAATTGGGGAAAGACACCAAAGAGTTGTCCTCAACCGATTCAGCCCTGGTCAAATTAATGAGTCAAGAGTCTTTGACAGATTGGCAGCAGAACCTCCAACAAAGTCTTGAAGCCCTAATACAAAAGGGATTGCAGGAAGTTTTAATACAACTTTCTCAACAAATTAAAGAATTTAGGAATCAGATTATAGAGACAAAGAAACAGGTGGAAAAAAAACAGAAAGATATCACAAACTGTCAGAAAAACAGGATAAACTAGTAGAACTAGGTAAAGAATTACAAGAGGAACAGATACCAAAACCAGGATGAGAACATACTATTAAATATGGAAATGGATAAAGTAACATTTCTACTTAGACTCCAGAATATACATGAACAGAAAGAAGAAAACATAATCAATTGTGTATCAGAAGCGCTTGCACCAATCCTAGAAGTAAAACAGGAGGAAGTGAAACAAAATATAGATAAAGCATTGAGAGTTTCCTCAGCTTATACAAAGAGGCATAAATTACCGAGAGAAATGCATGTTAAATTTATAAAAAACACCTTTAGAAATACAATTCTGAAATCTGCTCAAGGAAAGAAATTGGAGATAAAAGGAGAAGAATTTAAGATTTTGAAGCACATTCTGTGGAAAATACAAGAAAAAAATATGAACACCTGACAAATTATCTCAGAAAAAATGCGATAATATATAGGTGGGCTAACTCCAGAAGGGCTTACTTTCCAATATGTGGAAAATACAAGAAAAAAATGAACACCTGACAAATTATCTCAGACAAAATGCGATAATATATAGGTGGGCTAACTCCAGAAGGGCTTACTTTCCAATTCCAGACCCAAAGATACTTTATAAACAATCCAAAGAAAGCAGGGGGATTCATGGAGAAAAGAGGGGGAAAACCAGAAAGAAAGGAGAAAAAAAAGAGTAGAAAAAGAAAAGTAAAGCTGTAAAATAGAGGAGTCAGAGTCAAAAGAGAAAAACAGATTCAGAAATAGAAAAAGAGGAAGAAGAAATAGAAACCAAGTCAAAGATGCAGACAAGAGGCATTTTAAAAAGAGAGGGAAAAGCAGATAGTAAAACCAAGTCCAATGAAAATTGTTTCCATATAGTACAGTGGGGTCTCTACTTAAGAACTTAATCCGTATTGGAAGGTGGTTCTCAAGTTGAAAAGTTCTTATGTTGAATCTGCATTTCCCATAGGAATGCATTGAAAACCATTTAATCCGTATCTGCTCTTTTCCGTCCATAGAAACTACAGTGGAACCTCTACTTAAGAACTTAATCCGTTTTGGAATGGTGTTCTTAAGTTGAAACGTTCTTAAGTTGAAGCAAAATTTCCCATAGGAATGGACTTTCCAATTCCAGACCCAAAGATACTTTATAAACAATCCAAAGAAAGCAGGGGGATTCATGGAGAAAAGAGGGGGGAAACCAGAAAGAAAGGAGGAAAAAAAGAGTAGAAAAAGAAAAGTAAAGCTGTAAAATAGAGGAGTCAGAGTCAAAAGAGAAAAACAGATTCAGAAATAGAAAAAGAGGAAGAAGAAACAGAAACCAAGTCAAAGATGCAGACAAGAGGCATTTTAAAAAGAGAGGGAAAAGCAGATAGTAAAACCAAGTCCAATGAAACTTGTTTCCATGTAGTACAGTACAAGCTTGTAGTACCAAAAACGTGGAAAATTAATGGGAAATAATCAAGTCAAACAATACAAATATTTGGACATCTGGTTTCATCAGAATTTTTCTGATTCTGATGAAACCAGAGGGGAAGAAGTTTTAAATCTCTCAAGAGCTTGGAGGATCCCGGTGAGTCTCTGGTGTAAGGCAGAGTTTCCCTTCACTAGGGCTTATTTTCAGGGTAGGAATTATACTACAGTCATCTTGAAAAATCATACTAGGGCTTATTTTCAGGGAAACATGGTATCATTGAGATTCTCATAGAGAGAATCTGAATAGTGTACTGTTTTTTCTGCCTGTGAATTCACAAGTACATGTACCAGACCATCAACATTACATTTTATTTCAGTGTTAAGGGAGAGTGAAATTCCTAAGTATTCATAGGAGTCTGGGGAGGCAAAGCACCCCACCCATGCCCCTTCAGGTCTTTATTAACATGAGATCGATTTATCTGATGAATATGTGGAGAATTTTAGCTTCTTTGTGTATCCTTCCTGCAAGATAGGGAAGAGAATTTAATTAAAAAGCAAACCAGACCAGTGAAACTGGTGAACGCTTGAGGAGAGCTTCTAGTGTTTCTGTGTACCTGTTCACCGAAGAGCTAGTCAGGAAGTCTACCTTGCCCTCATATATTAATTATTAATTGTTGTAATACTAGGATTTGTTCTGATATCAGAATACAGTTTAATTTTATGAAAAATTGTTTTCTTCTTCTTCTCACAGGGCACAACAGTTGAAAATATTTGCTCTGAAATCAGATATCTACCAGCCACTAGATCTATTTCTAGTGAAAGAATGTTTCTTGTGCTGTGTGATCTGTCCTACTCTATTGAGAATGCTGTGGAAGTTGCTGTTGTAAGTAGAAATTCATCTAGGAGTAGAAAATATCTTGGGCTGAAATGTGCTGGAGGATGGCCATGATCTAACTGAGAAGAACAAAAAATGAATGTTGCTGTGGGTCTGTGGGATCCCTTCTGGGTCTGCAGTCCTAAGAAATATATAATCCTTTCCCTCAAAGAATTAATCCCAGCAGGGAGAGGGGTGTCTATGTCTGTATTGTTGTTCCTATGGTGCCATTAATAGTAGTTTCAGGTAGAGCAGTTTACCTTTTGGGGGAAATACTGCAGGATGAAAGGCTTAACTACTTAATTATAAATAAAAATAAATTACCATATTTGCCAGCGTACAAGACGACTTTTTGGCCCCGAAAAACATGCCTCCAAGTGGGGGTCGTCTTATACGCCAGATGCACTTCCAGCAAACCCTCCCTCCCAATGAAGTCACTTACCTGGTAGTAAGACCGAGTAGACTTAGCCTGCCCCCTCCTTGGTAGCTTGGGAACAGCCTGACTCTAGCGCCGAACAGCTGACTGTCTGGAACCAGGGCAGCCATTTTGAGATAACCACATGGCTGCTGCCTCTCAAAATGGCTGCTGCCTCTCTGCTGTCCTCCTTCCAGCAAACCCTCGCTCTCTCCCAGTGAAAGGAACTAAAAACAACAAAACGAACTCCCCATGATGCAGCTAAAGCAGAATCACACATGCGGAAGAGGGGGTAGTCTTATACAGCAAGTATATAACAAACTCTACATTTTGAGTGGAAATGTTGGGGGGGGTCATCTTATACGCCCAGTCGCCTTATACGCCGGCAAATACGGTAGCTTCTATGATTACTTTTTTTAAAATGAGAGATCTGATCACAGGCCTTCCTCACAACTGCTGCATCTGAAGACCAGTTAGAGCAGACACAAAACTGGCTCTCATTCGTGAAGGAAATAATGTTAGCTTATGCGGGTTAATCCGCAGAAGCCTTTGTGCTGCAAGGTCAGAAGACCTGCAATCGTAAGATTGAATCCACGCGACGGAGTGAGCTCCTGTTGCTAGTCCCAGCTCCTGCCAACCTAGCAGTTCAAAAACATGCAATTGCGAGTAGACAAATAGATACCAACATGATGGGAAGGTAATGGCGTTACGTGTATAGTCACGCTGGCCACGTGACCACAGAAGATTGTCTTCGGACAAACGGTAGCTCTATGGGTTGGAAACAGAGATGAGCACCGCCGCCTAGAGTCAGACACGACTGGACATATAGTCAAGGGGAACGTTTACCTTTACCTTATCAGAAAAGAACTGAACACATTTATCTGTATCAGCCCTTTTTCTTGTTATAGCTAAGGCAAAAAAAGAGCAAGAATCATGCACTGTTACCATTGGAGTTGAGCTCAGAAGAGTTAATTTGGGCACTTCAACTCCCCATATCCCTAAGCTAACTTAAAAGAGCAACTTAGAGACTTCTTTTCTAAATTAACTTTTTATTCTTGATACGCGTTATCAGTTTGCTTCCAAATTATGGCAACCTAATGACTCAGTGACTTGCAAAAATTCCTATTTTAGGTCCCTGCTAAGATCTTACAAGCTAGTGACTGTAACTTCTTTTATTTGAGTCAGTCTATTTGGTATTAAGTCTTCCTTTTTTCCTTCCTTCCACATTCTTTGCTTTCCTAGTGAGTCTTGTCTTCTCATGATACGTCCAAAGTACACATGCCTCAATTTCCTTGTTTTAGCTTGTAGCAATAATTGATGCTGAATTTGTATGCCTTTCTGGTGGTCTATGTTAGCTTAACGTCTCATCCAATAACACATTATGAATGAAATGTAGTTCCTCCTTACTGTTTCAGTCATCTGAAAAAGAAGCAGTTGCTTAATCCGAACACTGCTATATTTGAACTGAAAAACCCAACAAATTTATAGCAGGCTGCCCACTCTGTTGCTCATGTTGAAAATGAGTTGAGTGAATCTATGCAGTTACTGAAGCAAAATGCCTCAGATACTCTTAGCCTGAAAGGTAAAATGAGTCCAACTTGGAAGCTAGAAAGGATGTTGGGAGAAGATTCACTAACGATCAAAGTCTGTTCCATGCCACACATTTGCTATGGCCAAGGGGGAAAGGTTCTTACACCTTTTGGCACAGTGTGGGTCAGATATTCTTAGCTGGGCTATCTTTGCTTACTAGTACAGCTGCAGAATGATCTCAGTTATGATGCAAACTGAGGGAAGTACACAGTTATTTATAACAGAGTCTATCGTTAGTGCAAAATGCCTAGCCAGATAATATATCAGAAGACTCCAAACGATGACTGTCTTTAGTTAGTGGTGTAAATAACATGGAAGTCTGCTGTGTGTTGCTTACCATACAGGTAATAGGTGGCGTGTAGGGTACTAGAATAATGCTTCCGCACATTATTTTATTATCAACCAGCATTTGGGCTTTAGCAAAAACTGGGAATTCTTAGGTCTCCAGACTTCAGTTTGGTTACCCAAAGAAGTTGGAATATACATTGTTGTGAATCTAAACATCACTCTTGCTTTCTCTTCTCAGTCTTTCATCTCACCTCAAGATGAGACTGATAACAGCCTCATACAGAATGCTGCAAATACTATAGTAAATGCCATCACAAAGCGACAGAACAGCACAGTTATGCTGGCAGTGACTGAAGTCAAAATAGAGACTATTGTGATTGGGAATCCTCCTTCAGGTATGGAAGAACATTTGCACCCTTTAACAACATGGCTTTGAATGTAACTGCATGTAACATGATTCTCTTGTGGGGGGGTGCCTTTTTGGAATTATTCCTTCATCTTTTTTTTCTATACTGCAGCTATTTGAGGCTGCCAACATGAAGTGAAAGAATCTGAGGGTAGAACTAATTGAAACCCTTCCCTTTGCACAGTTTTCCCCCTTGATGCTGGGGAAAACATACAGTACTTGGAGTAGGAGAGAGCACAATTCAGGAAAAAAAATAGTGCAAATAGAAAAAAAAGTTAGAAGCTCCTTTTCAACCTCCTTGCTCCCATAGAGGTGCTTGTCAGTTTCAATTGGGGGGAAGGGAGGTTGTTTGCTTGCTTGCTTGGCAAACTGGGAACAGGGAAGGCTGAAGAAAGAATTATGACCTGTATTATCAAGTTAAGCCCTTGTTCCTACAAGTGACGAGATCAAATTTCGGTCCCTCTTCCTGGAAGAAGGACCGTGTGGTTCAAGAGAGTGACCTCAGTGCATATTACTGCAATACAGTTCTTGCCAGCTATGTGGCCCACATGGCTGCTTAGTATTTCAAATGCCAGGCTTGATACCAACAATAGTACAGCTTTCTCCTCGCTCAATTTTTGTCTAGGTTCAGTGTCTACAGTTTTCTCTGAGTGCTGAGAAATATTTTCCTATTCGTAAACATTTACTAATGTTGTCATATGAATAAATGAACATTTTCACTTGGGGCAGTTCTACCAGTGATTTTTGGGGGAGTGTGGGAGGTCGCTACTGTATTAGGGAATACACTAGAATTATTAATCTGAGAATTCTAAATGCTTCACCAAACTACAAATCCCAAGATTCTGTAGGACAAATCCACACAGTTACAACTGCTACAGTCATGTGGTGTAGATACAAATGCTTTTGAAGGCTCTGATTACAAATATGACACCATCCATTCTGTCTCGATAAGCTTTTGCTTACTTCAATGTGTATTTGGCTTGTTTTCTAGATTACCTGGTTCCAATCCTCTGTGCAGTTTGTAGTATCGTCTGTTCAACCTGTATAATAATCTGTGTGTGGTGGACCCGAAAGAGAAGAAAAGAGCGGGAGAGAAATCATCCATCCAGAGAAGAAGCTGCAAATAACCAGTGGGCACCTCTAAATCCCATATGGAATCCTATAGACAGACCTTATAGTCAAAAAGTAATTCATTATGAACACAAAAACTTTACATCTAAAAAAAGAACTTTTGATGGGGTAGAGGAGTATGCAGAATATGAGGAGGAGGAGGAAGAGGAAGAGGAGAGAGAAGTAATGGAGGTGGATAAATTTCTCTCTCACAAACTCTCAAAGCCTTTGTCAAGAAAGACGGCGGACTCATTAGACAATAGTCCTGTTACAAAATCTCTTCAGACAGCCAAAATGGACAATAGAGCTGTAAAAAATGTGAACACAACCAGTCTTGAAGGCGGAAGAGACTAAACCTGTGCTTGGACCATGGCTGCACTGTCTGTCTTGACTGAGGGAGAAATTGGCTTCTCTGCTTTGCATCAAGGACTTAATTGTCTGGAGACAAATGTTGATAGTTACTTTATTTTGAATAAAAAAAAATTAAAATAATAAAATAAAAATTTTATTTGTTTCTTTTAGCCTTGTATAAATTATTTGATGATGACTGTCAGATGATAGAGTAATCTTTGATAGTTGCTATTTTTGTAAATTTTACTTAGAATCCACTTGCTGTATGGCAGACGAGGGAAGTTTCTATTTCCAATTATTTCATAACGTTTATCACCCAAGACTTGACACTGTTTACAGAATGGGTTCCTTTATACAGCAGTGGCTTTAAAAACCTCCTGGTTGAGGAAGTTACTGAAGGGGGGGGGGCATTCACATGAACTGCTCTTTGGAATCCTTATTAAGAAGTTGCTCCCTGCACTTAATTTCTAAGTCTCCCCCTCAGAAAAAAAAAATTGCCTTATTTTTGGGGAGGGAAAGTCTATAGAGATCTTTCAAACTGTGGTTGGAAAAAGTGACCTTTTTGATTTGAATATGTCAATTTGTTTTAATTCCTTAGGACTGCAGTATTGATGCACGGGTCAAGTGCCTTGAAATTTCAGCTTTCTTTTTTCTATAGCAACTGTCAAAGACTGCCATGGCCATCTAGGTTTACCACAATAGGATACTTGCTATCCTCAGGCTGATATCATTAATTTTCACATTGTGTGACTGCATTTTTTTGTAAATATGTACATATTTAAATGAATTACTTCTGTATATTTGAGTTAATAACTTAAAAATATTTTGGTCTTTTTAAACGTCATTCCTTTTTAATTTATGTCGCAGAAAGGGAAGTTTTATGGCAATTTCTAAGAAAATATATGAATACAAAAAAAACTTATTTTGGTATTATGTCCATATTAGAAAGTGATGTGAATACAATCAATGTTTGGTCACATTTTTGTACTTTTTCAGTGTATCACAACCATTTCACGTGTAAATAGATCCAGACGTTTTCCTCACTTTTCAAGAATGCAGAGAGTAAGCATACTGTACAGTATAAAGATAACAAGGCAATATTTTTTTTCTTCTCTTGTGAATGTCTATTACATGTGGTATTGCTTTTTTTTTGCATTTTTTAAATACAGGCCTAATGAAGGGAACAATATTTTTCTCATTTCTTGTTTCTGTTACACTTATTCACCTCTTTGGGGGAAAAAAGGTTAACAGACTCAGACTGGAACTAGGCATTACTGTAGACCCATAACCAAAATTAGTACTTCTGAGTCTCTTCCTCTCTTTCCTCTAAGAACTATGAGTTATTCAGAATGTCGACACAGTGCTACCACCATGTTGGGTTTCTCTGCCTCTAATCCACTTCATTGGCTGCTACTTGTTTAGGGGTGGGTAAACTTGCAGGATAACAATATCATAACATATATATTGTGTCAGTCGATCCAAATAGGGGAGAAGGAGGGGGAGAGTTGGGTTTCTCTGTTCCCCAGCTATTATATTAACTGTTTCATCTGCAAAGATGGAATCCCTCATGAGAAATGGTTATTCATAACGGAAGGCTTGTGCGTTATTTGTGGGGTTGTGTTTTTTTAAGGCTTTATTATTACAGAAATGAGTTATATCTTTCTTTTAATTATTGGGAAAACTTAACCCTACAGTACTCAGCTATCCTGTCATTGCAAAGAAAATTGATATTTCTCTTTCAGCATTTTGGCCACTCAGTGTAACCCTAATGATTTTTTTAAAAAAGAAACATTTGTGTTTTGTACATGAATGCAAGAATTGCTTTGCAGGAACTTCCATGCAGTACATTTTGTTTGACATGTTCTATAGCTTTCGGAAGAAAACTATTTATTAAAGCATTTTATAAGAATGTTGGCATTTGAAACTTCTTTTCACTTCCCTTTTCTTTTTCTTTCTGCTTCAAGGTTCATAATGGTTTAGGAACAGCTCGTCCCTTCCATCCTAATGGGTACTGCCCAGCTGTCCCAACGCAATTTTGAAGGGTTCTCTTACACTTCATTTCTGTTGCCCTCGTGAAGTTTGTTTATATTGCAATGCTGCTGTCTTCCAAAGGCTAATAAAGTTCTTTCCCTCGCTATGTATAACATTTCAAACTGTCTGCTTGTCAAAGCCCTTCTTACCTACATCCTTAGCCAGGTTATGGATCTGAGAGGATAAGATGCTTATGGGCAGTAACCCTCATGCACCAAAGCCAAGATATTTTACTCCCGCAGAGTCACAGTTAATTGCAGAATTCACCCAAAAGTATACCTGTAAGACAGGCATTTTACAATACAGTATTTAATTCCTGTCTCTTGTCATGAACTGTGACCTACTTTGATTCCTGCCACTAGGATAAAGGTGACAGAGAAGTGCAGCAAATAAATAAGCATTCTCAAATGAAAAGTTAAAAGCTTCAGCCAACTGTCCATCCAGTGGAGTTGGGTTTTTTTAGCAGATACAGAACAGCTGGGACAAAAACTGTCAGGAGAAACTTGAGTTTTTCTCATTTTGGTTACTTTTTTTTTGTCCCAGCAAAAATAATCCATGTTGAAGAACCAGAAGTGATGTACTTACTGAGTTGTCAGTAATTTATCCCCATTTGGAGACAGAGTTGGGGGGACTGCAGTTTATTGTGGTGGAGGAAGTACAAGATGTCAACATTTAACTTTTGATTGTATTTCTGCATTGAGCAGGGGGTTGGACTTGATGGCCTTGTAGGCCCCTTCCAAGTTCACTGTTCTATGATTCTGTGAACCTAAATTATCTTTCTAACCTCCAATATGCTGAAATGCAATGGTATCCAAAAATTTCTTAGGAACCACCCCTTTTTTTTAATCCTGGTGGATAAGGGTTAATGGAGTCCCTCTATTTAAGCTCCAAGTCTTAAACAGAATCTCAGCTGCGTGCAAATATAAATCAACCTGTCTGTTAGTAGTAGATTTTTAAAATTGATTTGAAGTCTGGTTTTTAGTCTATTCCAAGATGAGATTTCCCCTCTAAGAGTAGGGTGAAGATAATATTAGCATTTACTAATCTGATCCCACAAGCAACTGGGCTGGCACTTTTTCTCTGAAAGCCAGCCTTTCCACTCTACAAACGAAACCTCTGTGTTCCGGTACCAGCTAATGCAGCCTGTAGGTTTTTTTCTGGCCATTTGCCAATTCCTGTGTTGTTTTCTTCTATCGGCCAGCTTAATTAACCCTCAGGAGACCTTATAGCACTTGAGTGGGGCTGTTGTAGCAAAGTTGAGAATATGAAGGTTCCCTCCTTCTAAGAGAAGATTATTAGGCTGTTGTGCCATCAGAATTCTACTATGTATACATTTTGGGAAGAGCATATGAAATCAATAGTAGCGGCAGTGCCAAACCCAGTGCCTGCAGGACGTCCACAAACAAAATGAAAAATCAATGCTTCTTTCCTACTGTATTTTCCCAGCAACGAACGGGAACTTGGAGTTATAATGATTCTAATTGTGGAGGTACAAGTATAAAGGTCCCAGCTTTTGTTCTAAGCATCTCCAATAACAGTATACTATAACAGTATACTACATCAGATAATAAGGGTATTTGTACTTGAGATGTTGGAAAATTGCTGCCAGTTAGAGCAGATGCTACAGGCCTAGATAAGCAACAATCCAATGTACCAATGAATAGAGGCACACCTTCCTAAGTACCTTTCCAGATGTGTTGGTCCCACTTCTGTGGACTGTCAGCCATAGTCTGATACTTTAATTTAGGTGTCTCAGAAGTGTGGCCTTCCATCTGGCGTTACATTGAAACTCATTAGCCTTAACTATTATAGCCAACGATAAGGGATATGAGATTTGGACTTGTCTGTTTATATGTCTTTGCATTCTAAAGTTGTTTCTGGGCTAGATCTCCACCTTAAGCTCCATCTTTCCAGGATTTACCTTTATATGTCAAAGCATTTTAAAGCAGGTTTAAAAAATGGGATTAGTTGCAGTTTCCCGACTTGATTATCACATAGGATTATTGCAAGGATGAGGCGAAAAGCACAACCATGTACAAAACTTCAAGCTCATTTGGAGCAAATGCAGAATATAATTTTATGTTTCTGGAATTAGCAGTGGGGTGGGGAATGTCCACCCAGATGATGATGGACTACTGTACCTGTCATTCCTCACTAATGGCTAAATTACCGTGAGCCTGATGGCCATTGAACTCCGACATCAGCTGAGAGGCCTTAGTTTTCTGACTGCCCTACTTTTAGAATCATCATTTAAATCAGGAGCACAGTGAGATGTTGGTCTGTAATACCTATAATCCCCCACCATTGACTGTGTTACCAGACACTAGAGTTGGAGGCCAAGAATATTGGGATGGCTGCAGTTTCCAGAGTCGGCTTTTCAGAAAATCCTTAGGCCAGGCTACTTGCTCTCTCAGTATAAGGGCTGCATTCTAGAAACAAGAGATTTCCTCTTACAACTTGCAATCAGCTACATTTCACTTCCCAGATTTGTCAATTTAAGGCAAATCTGGCAATATTATGGTGGAAAGAGCACAAAGACATTTAAGTAGGTGAAAGAAGGGAGTAGAGCCTGGCATATGGCAGGCTGGAGGGCACAGTGGGCAAATCTAAATGAAGGTCAACAAAGGGCATTGGATGCAGGAGCAGAGATGGGGATCTACTTGGGTCCCAGGTGGGGCACCTGTTCTTCCCCAGCTTCTACAACTGCAGACCACATATGATACTTTTACAGGCATCCAGGTATAGCTGACCAACTTATCTATTGCATGTGAAATACTGTACCTGTTTGGCCAATAAACAAACTGGCCATGCCCATGACTAGTGCCAGAACATTCCAAAAAATAACTTCGCAAAGATACTGCATGTTAGAAGATACTGCAGATCTGTCTTTTCAAAATACTTCTTTTTCTTAAAGTGCTTTGAAACATTATTTTTAGATATACTGTACACCCCCAACCCAGCAATTAAGGAACTGTAGTCGAACGGATGGAAAAGAAACGGTTTCAAGCTTCCTTCTGTGTTATACTCAAGAGTGTCCGTTTTACACCTTGCCTCTGAATTTTCTTGCACTTCAGATTTGTGTGTGTCCAAAAACCAACCTCAATGTCTTTTGATTTCACCCTAAAGCATTGGGTGAGATCCAGTCAGAGCCATAATTGGGCAGGGTAGCCGGAATTTTGATTAAAAGATCCAGAATTTAGAAATCACAAAAATTTGCTCCTGGAAGGGCACAACCCGCCCTGTCTCCCGTTCCAGACGTATATAGTGTCTCCAGCCACTTCTCCCCAGGAGACGTAGTACCACAAAATAGGCATTATCACCATGGAACCAATACAATCATCACATACTCAAACCCAGATGTTCCTCTGTTCTTTTTCTGCGGATGCTGATCTCTTATGACCCAGGGGTTCAGTATGAACTGTACAGAATGTGGCCAAGGTGCTCGGTCTTATCCTCCAGATAGGCTCTGCACTCTGGATAGGTCTCGTTATCAGACTAAAACCCAGCGCATTTAGAGCTCCTGAGAAAGTGATCTCAGCAACTCATACTGGTTCCAGATGTCAAAGACGGTTTCGTTACGGAGAAGGCTGGAGTAAAAACTCTCTTTGGGATACAACAGCTTTCTGTAAAGAGCAGATCTAAACTGTACTATGTCACAGTGCTGTGTTTTTAGGGGCTGGGGGAGCTGAGCAGAGCCCTGAGCATTAAAGGGGCAGACTGGCATGCCCCATAGAGCATTTCTGTGAAATCTGGCACTTTGTGGGGTTAAAATGTTAAAATAAAACAAAGACAGGATGAGTGGAAAACAAGAAAATGGACATTGAAAAATGTCAAATATCTTATAAAGGAATATGCTGAATAGTGTGTGTATGTCTATGGATGAATGCCTGCATTCTCAAATGGTCTTTTGAGTCATTAGGTTAAAAAAATATCTTCCGAATATCGGGGCCTACCTTCCCCACCATCATCCTTTGGTTGTTTCCCTGTAACACTGGTGCTGCCGCCATAATAGTGGTTTCCGCCTTCTCTTTTTCTCATGATCCCTGAACTGGAAGTGGGCCAGGAACCCTGTCAGCTCTGTGTACATGCCTTTCCATATGAATAGCCATTTTGTTTTCCCCATAGGTGGGAATTAGCCCTCACCCCATCCTGGGATATTCAGTAACAAAAATACTAGCATGGACCCCTATCAGATAGGAGTATTCCCAAAAGGCCACAGAGTAAATCAGGTATTTAGCTCCCTCTCCCTCTCCCTCCCTCCCTCCCTCCCTCCCTCTCTCCCTCTCTGTGTGTGTGTGTGTTTGCAAAACATGGTCAGGGGGGCAGTGGCTGAACTTTGTTTACAACTAACTCTTCAGGTAACAGTGCTGTAGATAGAATGTCTACCTTGATATCTGGGGGGGGGGCGGATTTTGAGAAGTCCAAGGACAAATTATCCTGCTTAATAGTCTGACCAATATTCCAGGAGCCTTAAAGACAGTCAAAAATTTTGCAGGGGGCGGGGAGGGAACAAATGAAACCAGAAGCAGCCACAAGTCAACTTACTGTTTTAAAGATGGGTGGGTATTTTGTTTTATGTCAAGGGTATCAGAAACCTATTTGATAGGCTTCCAGATGTAGCCATTCATCTTTTTCCCCTCTTTTGCTGGGAATTTATTTATTTATTTATTTATTTATTTATTTATTTATTTATTTATTTATTTGGGAGATGAGGTGCAAAGATGACCTTGGGGCTGCGTGCCATCCAAGGCATCCTTTTGACCATGCCTGTTGTACATCTATTTCCATGTGAATTCTGCAGGAAAAATGTGACTCTGGGTATTAAAATGACCCATCTCGGAGATTAAGCTGCATTCCCCACAAGAACAGTGACGTAAC